TGCACAAAAAACACAATGTAACACCACCACAACTTAAAGTGTACAACAATCTTGTCTTTGTAATTAGTTTGGGTTCTCATCCTTTATATCAAAGCTGTGTCACACAGCTGTTAGTTACATATCCAAACCCTGAGGTCATAGTCACTTTACACACATGTGGAATGGCCATCAGTCCTTTGGTATTGATAAATCATTTCACACCTTACACATTAATCTTGGCCACATTTCAGACCTCAAAACCCCAATAAATAAGCCCTTTCAGAAACCTCCCACAACTGATCATGTGATGCAAGCATGTACAAAATTAGCTGATGATCATCTAATAGATAGTTAGAAGACATTATACCCGCAACAATCCTATTTTTAGGAGTGAAAATCATTTCTCCCCTACTTCAGACAGTGATTCTTATCACATTAGGGTGAATCTCTCTCTCTCTCACACACACACACAAAACCTGTCTAGGTCATATTTCACCAAATCAAGAGAAAAAAAAGAAGAAACCTTAATTTGCATAAAGACAATGAAGCCTAATGAAGTCTATTTTGGCATTGTGACATTTCTTGCATAAATTGTAAGCACATTTCTCCCCTTAAAAAAATCTCTGTAATTGATCTATACAGTTTGATTTTGACGGAAATGATATGTTTTATATTCTCATTATTTAGTGCAATATAAAATGTATTTTAATATTAATATTGATTAATTAAATTGTATATATGAATATAAAATGCTGTATATACACACATCTTTTGATATTTTAAGTGTAAGTTAAAGGTATAACAGGCCTCATTTTCTTCATGCAAAATATTTTTGTATAAGTAACACTTTACTTATTGCTTTTATATATATAAAATATATATTTTTTTATTAATTAATTGTGCCTTTTAATGCTTATTACTGCATTGTAAGGTGGAATCATTTATTATAATGACAATACTTATATATTCATTAAACACACATTTAGAAATTTGCATTAAAACCTGACAAACAATTTCAGAAGTAACGAGGAATCTGCAAATATAATGCATTATAATGTACTGTACATTATGAGAATGCATCATAGTTGAAGTCTTTAAGTAAAGTGTACTATTTCCTCTTGAATTTGAGATGAAATATGACCCCTTTACATTCTTTACGAGATTCACCCATGTATACATTGGCTTCTGGTGGTCATAAATCAAAGGTTGACCAGCATAAAGTAAAGTATAGCTTCATAACCGAGGGCTTGAATTGCTTGCACTGCTTGTCTTCATCTTGAGTAGACTGGACAATCCATGTACAGGAAAAAAATAAAATAAAACATAAAATAAATATTTACTATATTAAATCTATTTAAAAATACATTTGCATGTACCATTTGTTTTGTGACAAGTCAAAACAGTTGCTACAAGGTAAAACTACCACGGTGCTTAGCAAGAGCCTGGATCTCTACACCGAAATCAATGTCACAATCTGTTATAGCTACATGTATCTATTCATATACATATTTCGATAAATAAAACATTTGATCATCTTCTTGGTATCTTAAAGCACAAGTTTCTGGTCGTTTGCAGTTAGAATATTTGGAGATCAGGGAGTCAAAGACATGGAAGAGAAATAGAACAGTCTGAAAAGTCCCTGGTTCTTATTTACAAAGTCCGGAAACATTAGAGATGACCTGCACGGGTCAAAAAAGGCATGCAACAAAACAAGGAGTTTGCATGCAGGAAAAATAAAGATTCTTTGGGGTAAGGACGTGCTGTTTTTAACCGAAACAAACTTGCATTGTCGTTTTGGTGATTGATGGTGCGTGCCGTGTTCTCTTAAATTGCATAAGGAAGGATTGCATTGTGATGTCAAGAGAGTCATTGTGTTGCTTAATGTCAGCTGGCTCGAAGGAAATTAAAAGGGAGCTCCGTGCGTCTGACCACAAAGCCTCAGAAATTGCCTGTCCAAGATGATTAAGCAATGATCTCCATAAAGCGGTTTGTATGACGCCTCATGTTAAATCAGTCTGTTTGTGTAACAGCGAGACTCCTGATTACAAACATTTAGAAATTATTTCAATGAGAAGCTCATCCTGACCACTGTCCAACATGGTTCACGTCATACGCTACTGTAAGCAGAAGTAAGCCTGGACAGGAGAAAAACAAGGTGTAAGGCCAAAAACATATTTGCCTCTCTAACCTCTCTATTCAATCAGGTGATAAAGGTAAGACTAGGGATGTCTGTGCCTTTAAACCAGATTGTTTATTACTCAGATAGCTAGCTTTAAACAAGTCAAGAGCTAAAAGTTGCCATAAAATGAAAATTCACTGTTTATTGTGAACAATTGACCTATGGCTAAGCCACGCCCCCTCCACTCACTCGGACAAACAGTCAACATTCGGGGACAGGCGCTATGGCAGCTGTCACAGTAGGAGACATTTCACAGGAGGCAATTGGTGATTTTTGGAGATGGAACGATTACATATCATCTGGAAGTCACCTAAAGGGTCTTAACTATGCATTGGAGGGTAACATTAAAGTCCCCGTGAAATCAAAATTGAACCTATTTACTTTGTTAGCGCATATTACTAGTCTTGTGGTGAACAATTAATCCATGCAAGTAAATATATATTAAAAAAATGTTTTACCTTGGTAATCTTTAATCAAAATCTGAAAAGTTACTTCCGGTCTGGAATGGTTTCTTTTTCTGATGACGTAGGTTTCACAGCTTGGGTGGGGAAACGCTTAACCACTCCCCTCGAACCGTTAGTTTGCTATGAGCGAGAGATGGAGAGGAGGAGCGCTAGAGTAAAACCCTGCCCTCTGTTCAATATTCCGTTTCACTTGGAAATACGTCACAGCACTGGAGAAAAATCGTTTGCAACTTCCGGTTCACGGGGACTTTAATAATTTTGTTGTTGAGAAGGTCGATGAAAAGCTCCAGCCAAAAATGTATAGGTCACAGTGTAAAAGTGATAACCCGCATATCGTTGCCATCACCGTTTAGTGCTACAGTATTTACATAAATCATTCAGCACAACATTGTTAACATTTGTTACCTCGGTTATTTACAGAAACGTTAATGAAGCTAAGTGACATGATGTACAACGCAGCTAGAAGCTAACGTTAACGTTTTCTAATGTACGTCTAACGTTAGACTAACGCTACGTTGGATATTTTAAAGATAACGTTTAAATACGTTGTTGACTTCACTTCGAAAAGATGTAGACATCCTTGTTTAATTTATCCACGTTTAGTTGGTGTTGTGGTCTAGCTACCGCATAACTTTATCCAGAGACACTTATCTTGGTTGAGATGTGGCTTGGGAAAGGGTAAAAAAATACACACCGTCGCCCAGCTTCTCGGGAACCTAGTGTCGGAGTTGCATCTACCCCATGCACACTGTTTGACCATTTTAAATTTAAAGGGTAACTAAACCCCTGGTCAGAGCCTGACTCCACCCACTGGCAATATTTGAAAATGCTGAAAAAGTGGGCTGACCCCAGCGGAGATAGATGGGACGAAATAGATGCTAAAACACTCTATCCTGATCGTTTTCAATGCTCACAATTCCAACTCCTGACTCCCTACAGTGGTTTTGACGACACAAGATGGTTTTTATACTGCCAAGTGCGTAGCTCGCGTGGTGAGCTGAAACCTGGGTACGTCACGAAGTGCGGAACATCCAATAGGAAAATTCAACTGTAGTAGCCACCGTTCAACCTGAAGAGGGCAGCACTAAGACGTTTTTACACCGTATATTGTAGAAATTGAACACTTTATAAACAAATGTCAAAAAAGTTACTCGAATCAATGACTGGTATTAATAAAGGTCCATTCTTACAGATCATTAACTAAAAAAAGTTGGTTAATTGTTTAGTTACTCTTTAAAATGACAAAAAAAACGAATGAAAACTCACTAACTGCGACACATTTCAATGGACGTGGAAGCAGAGAATGTCCGAGTGTATTGGGTTAGCTGCGCACTGTGATTGGCTCCTCGCGTTTGAGGGCGTAGCTTAGCCATAGGTCAATTCATTGACTGCATGCTCCCATTCAGACCTGCCTCTGTCCAATCAAAATTTGATGGACAGAACCAAGTCCCTCACCAGCATTTGCTTTACTATGGATGCATGATTTCAGTTGAATGGCCCACAATTTCAGTAATCGCAAAAAAGTAATCACAACCTGAGTATACTCAAAAAAGTCCTGAAGCTCGTCGTATACGTTTTTGAGTTTTCCAACTTGATTTTTTACAGTGTCGGCAACCCGTTAAGAGAAGTTCCAAGTATGTAGTTTCTTGTAACACTGAGCCATTGGACATACAGTAGACTTGGAAAGGAAAATCCATTGAGTACAAGATGTTTAGTCTTGTAGTCAAGGGTCCAAAGTTTTCTTCAAATGTATGTGCCAATAAACCAGATGGGTTGTAATTCAGGTTGCTAGCTATAAACACGTAACTTGCTCAGCAAGATTGTCCTCCAGATGTTGCTCTACCATGACAGCAGACAGTTTCTGCTAATGTGCCTTATAATGCATGAATAACAATGACTATGTTTACATGCAGCCAATCTTCGGGTTATGGTCGGGTTAAGGTCACTATTCGGGTTTCTGAAACATTAGGAATAACCCGTTTACATGCTTGAGCAGAGAGAGTTTCTCCTGTATACATGGAATTGCAATATCCCCATGTAAACGCCGACGCACGTTTAGCGTCTAGACGTATGAACAATCTTAAGACGCAATATGCGTCATTTCCGATTCTTCTTCCTGTATCCAAACACAACAACAACAGCATCACGCGGATAATGAATAGTTCGGGGCAGATAGCGATCGCCTTTGTTTGCGCTTTGATGCTGGTAACATTACTGACCTCGCTCCAAAAGTATGCTGTGCTGTGTCTCGCCTGGTCTCGCCATGTTTACTTCCGGTACACTACACCTGGATTTTTGTATGCGCCGAGAAGTTTCTCTACTCAAAAGACCAAGATTCCTTGCGAACAGAACATGCGCAGAACACAAATCACTATGGGGATATGCCGATACGCATTTACATGACCAAAAAATCGGGTTAGAAAAGGGGTATCATATCCCGGTTTTTAAAATCAGGGATATGAGCAATATTCAGGTTTTTACCTGTGTTTACATGGCCGTTCGTGACCGGGTTATTGCTAATATCCAGGTTTTGAACGGGTTATTGGCTGGATGTAAACCTAGTCAATGTGTGAAATCTTAGCTAGAAGAGTTTGCATTCACGTACATGCATATGTTTCTGGTCTTAGACCTTCTATTCCCAAGCATCCTCGATCTGCTCGTGAACATCTCGCATCACTTCCTCGTGAGTGAGAATGCGTGCATAACTAGGAATCTTCCAAAGGCCATGGTTTAAGGGTCCTGGCTGATCAAACACTTGACTCTCTCTAGTGGTAACTGAAGCTGCATCTGTGGTGACAATGACGTCATTCGGGTGTTCACTCTCATTTCCTTCTCTTTTGTTTTCATCCTTGTCTGTAATCACTTCCTTCTTGTTTTCTTCCCTTTGATCCCTCAAAGATCCCTTCTCCTTTGTTTTTTTGCTCTTCATGTCTCCCTCCTGTTTTTTCTTCTTTTGGGTGTTTTTGAGCTTAGCCTCCCCTATTGGCTCAACCGCTTCATCCTCTTTTTTGCTCCTCGCTTTTCTCTCAGTTCTCAAACTCTCCTCCCGTTCTTGGGCCTCACTTCGCTTCCTTCCTCTAGATTCCTGTTTTTTCCTCCTTTCAGCATCACCTTTCCTCTGGTCCACGCTCAGTGTGCCCTTTGCACGGCGTTCCCCTTTCTGTCCCTGTGTTTCTCCAAATGCCACTTCCTGTCCTTCACGCTTTGACTTCTGGGGGCTGACTGAGCGACTGTGTTGGCAGGACTTTCTGTTCTTGTGGGAGTCTTGAGTGCTTTGTTTCAGATTTTCTTTGTAGCTGCGAGCTTTGTCTTTGGATGAGCTTTTGGGTTTCTCTGTTTCTCCGAGATCAAGGAGATTCTCTGCGGAACGACTCTTGATGCGGCGTTGCTGCGAGACTCTGGAAGAGCTGGTGTTTCGTGGTTTGGCACTTTTCTCCCTCTTGCTGTCTTTAGTGCGAGGATCCTCGCAGGCCAGATCCAAGGAGCTTGTCAGGTCTGGTGTTCCCTTCTTCGCTGAGGTGGATGATGGATGAAGGAGAGGAGAACTGAGAGGAACGTTGGAAGTTTTGGATTCCGGCGGATCAGGAAGGATAACATCTCCTGTAGAACCTAAGGGTGAAAAGATTTGCAACTAATTAAAGCCTTATTAAAATTTATCATGATAACCTATTTTTTTTTTTTTTTTGAGTGATTTTGCATACACGTGCTTAATTCCAGAATGCTTGGTTGTTGTGGATGTCTGCACATGCATTGCTATGTAGTTGACAGAAAGTTATGGGTGGTTGCTAGGCAGTTGCTAGTGTATATATTAGAACTGCACGATTGTGAATATATCACAATTTTACTGTTTTAAAGAGAGATCACGATTCTGAACAGCCAGTTAAACAAAATAACATGTAATTTACTAGAGGTTCTAACAAAATATGAAGTGCTGGAGTCAATTTAAAAATGTTTAATTAATATAAAATGAATTATTGAATGATTATTCAATGACTCGCTCATCATTTTTTCACTTGTTCATTACTGTATAAATCAGCGTTTTTGAATGAATCTCTTGAATGAATGATTCAATGACAATACATTTTTAACAGTCCTGGTAATGTAATGATGTAATTGAAGCAATCGTTATTTGAAGTGCCAGTATGATTTTGTCAAAGGTTTAATAGACAGGTGAATTGTTGTCGTTTAAGAATAAGATCGCGTGGGTGTTTGAATCAAAATTGCAATATTTTAACGATTAATTGTGCAGTTCCAAAATATATATAAATGTCCTATTAAAGGCGTGGTTCACTTTTAAAAAAACCTTTGCTGATAATTTACTCACCCCCATGTCATCCAAGATGTCCATGTCTTTCTTTCTTCAGTCGAAAGAAATTAAGGTGTTTGATGAAAACATTCCAGGATTTGCTCCATATAATGGACTTCAATGGGAACCAAACGGTTCAAGGTCCAAATGAGAGATTCAGTGCAGCTTCAAAGGGCTTTAAACGATACCAGACGATGAATAAGGGTCTTATCTAGCGAAGCGATTGGTCATTTAAAAAATAAAAAAAAGTTTACGTTTTATAAGCACAAATGCTCGCCTTGGTCTGTTCTGTGATGCGCGTTTGTGACTCTCCTGTTCGAACTCGTTTATAAAAATGAACAAATCTTTTTTCAAGTCATGACTCGAAGGGTCCTAGATAAGACCCTTATTCATCGTCTGATGTCGTTTAAAGCCCTTTGAAGCTACACTGAAACTCTCATTTGGACCTTGAACTGTTTGGTTCCCATTGAAGTCCATTATATGGAGAAAATCCTGGAATGTTTTCATCAAAAACCTTCATTTCTTTTCGACTAAAGAAAGAATGACATGGACATCTTGGATGACATGAGGGTGGGTATATTATCAGCAAAAGTTTTTTTAAAAGTGAACTACTCCTTTACTATAAACTTGGACAATAAAGCAAAAAAAAAAAAAAAGTTTAGCAATTAGAAAGCATAGAAAGTGTAGTGAAAGTCCCATTACCAAAGAAAAAAGACCTAGAGGAAAAGAGGCTGTTAGTGATGATGTTCCTGGGGGCAGTAACACATCGCAGATGAGCTTACACAACCTGCACAGGAAGGAAGGAAGGAAGGAAGGAAAGAAAGAAAGAAAGAAAGAAAGAAAGAAAGAAAGAAAGAAAGAAAGAAAGAAAGAAAGAAAGAAAGAAAGAAAATGAAAGAAAATGAAAGAAAGTTAACTTGTGTGGTCTTGATGTTCTTACAGTATGCTTATATATCAGCACAGCATGATCCTGGTTTGTGTGATTACTCACTGTTCTCTGCTAAGAGGGCTTGTGGTCGCAGTAACAGTAGCACTTTGTTTCCTCCAGCTTGGATCAGCTCAATGGCTCTAGTGTGACTAATGCCTTGTGTCTGTTCTCCATTGATCTCCACTACATGATCTCCAACCTGCAGAGACACAATCAGCCATAAGATCAGCGGTAACACTTTACTTAAAGGGGTGTGCATAAGACTAACATGACACCTTCATAATCATGACAAATGTTATGAATATGAAGGAAGTTTTATGCATGTTTATAACAACTGTCATTAAGTGTCATTCACTCAATTGTGACATTTTTAACGCAAATATGACATTGTTTGAGATGTCTTTGTTATGACACCTTGACATAAACCAATACATCATAACCTGCCAGTGTCTTTGTCATGACAACTTGACATTACTAAGACAACACAACCTGTCATAAACATGACATAGCAGATTAATTATCAAACTTAAGAAACCATTGGTTAACATTACATTAAACTGTCAGGTGGTTGGTTTTTGGCATTGCCTGTCATGAAGCCATTATAACTTTTTAATGACAAATTCAATCAGTACCACTGTAGTTGAGGTTAGTAAACATATTCATGAAACAGTTATAATGGCCTCATGACAGCCAATGTCAAAGCCAACCACATGACAGTTTAACTTAATTTAATGTCAAGTTGTCATGACAAAGACACTGACATGTTATGATGTTATGGTTTATGTCAAGATAACAAATATTTGCATTCAAAATGTCATAACTGAGCGAATGACACTTAATGACAGTTATCATTAACATGCATAAATCCTATTTCATATTCATGACATATATCATGTCATGGTTATGAAGGTGTCATGTCAGTCTAATGCACAGCCCTTCAAGTAAAGTGTTACCAGATCATCAAACACATGAAAAACATTGTCACCTTCTTATAAGGTTGTACTTCACAGCACTTAAAAAAAGCATTTCTCAAGGTGTCTGCAAACAACGGTTTGACATATTTAGATTTTGATCAAAATTTTTTTTTGATCAAAACATTTTACTACATTTAAATGCACCCAATTCCATCCACAATATGTGAGTTATTAAAGAGTGGTGTTCTCTGTACTGACGTGTATCCTGCCATCTTGTAGAGCGGGGCCATCCTCAGCCAGACGCAAAATGTAGAGGCCCATGTTATACTCTGTTCCCCCTCTCAGACTAAAGCCGAAACCACGAGGACCGCGCTCCAACTCAACCGCAATACAGCCCTAGGTGGAAAATACACACAAAATGCAATTTATTCCAGTGATGGCATGATTATATATGAAGTATAACCCTGGATTAAATTACTTTAGTCTTGGCTTAAATACCTAGTATATGTATAAAGTAAGACATACTGTATAACGGGGTTGCATGATATTAGAAAAAAACTGACATTGCACTATTTTGCTTTTTCCGCAATGACAACAATTTCACCAGATGATTTGAATGGCTCTATTTGTTGAGAATCAATCGTTCTATGATTGAGGTGATTTTGTAGCAGAGCACATCTGTATAGAAAATAATAACCACATTACAAGCATAGATAATAATAATAAACGGGGCAATTTCAAGAGCGTCCTTGCACGTACCACCAGTGCTCGGGCCCTAATACATACAATAGAACAAAGCGATAAATGAAATAAGCAGTGCTTTATGTTTTTCAAGTAAATCTAACAATTATTCAGGTATGGAAAATGAATTATCAAATGTAAAATAACATTGCAGTCTTCACTGTATAAATTAAATATAGTTCATATAATTAATTCATTAATATAATTTACCAATTGTTAAAGCTGCAAAAGTGATTTTTCTCTTTCTCTTTTGTTGTCTGATTAACATTGGTGACACAAACAGCTGCAGGTATACTTTAAGATGAATTCACGGATCCAATATAATGATATGTATACGTTTCCATTGTTTACAACACATTATTGACTTAATTTTAACTTAATTTTGCGTGCAAGCTAAAAAAGAGAACTGAATTCGGTGTTCACATGCTGTCTGTGTGCATTTCTTCTTACGCATGATGTTTAAACTGATAGGACTTCAAAAACGCATGCAAATGATACACTTTTCCTCTATGATGTTTAAACTTTGCAATTAATCTGCACTCCGAACCAGTGAGCTGCTTTACTACGATCCCTATATTGACATCGCACATCCTGTAATGTTCTCACATCGCGATATCAATGCTAAAACGATATATCATGCAGCCCTACTATATATAATATAATATAATATATTTTTTATTTTGCATCATATATTACACTAGATGTGATGACTTTAGATAAAGTTTAGGTACAGTTTATGATATAAGTGTGACTCTTACCTGTTTTGAGTTGGCGACACACAACGTTCCCTGTTCACTCATGGGAAGAGCTTTATACTCCGTCCAGATGAGCTCATCCCTGATCTCATCCATATCCAAATTATATCTGCACATAAGTAACATGTATTATAGATCAGAAGGCAGGGTGGCTTAAAGGGATAGTTCACTTTGAAATTATTTTTTGGTATGTTTTAGCTTACCTCAAGGGCATCCAAGGTGTCTTTGTTTCTGCAGTTTTTCAATTTTGATGTTTTTATGTCAAACTGTTCTTGTCTGTCAGTCATATAATGGAGGTCTATGGTCACCACCTCAGAGAGCATGCACAGAGAAGTCCAAATTAAACATGATTTAATGACTTGTAAATGTAAGTACACATTGATGGCCTAAGACACGAAATGAGCGGTTTGTGTGAGAAAAAGAACAGTATTTTTACCTCTTGTAACCACAGCCATGTCCAAGTGATCTGAGAGCACGGGTGCTTCGGTCTGCACAAGCGCCTTAAGTGATCTCTTGCGCATGTACTCATTATTTACACAGAGATTTCAGAAGTGTTACCCTACACTGTGAACATCTAAACATAGATATACATGAAATCACAATGGAAGATGATTTTGGTACATCAACAGACAATGTTGATTTTTTTTTTTGCAACCCCGCGAGAGATCACTTCCGGCGCTTTCCGGCGCTTGTGCAGAACGAAGCGCCTGCACCCTCAGATCACTTGGACGTGGCTGTGGTTACAAGAGGTAAAAAACGATATAAATACTGTTTGTTTTCTCACACAAACCACTCGTTTTCTGTCTTAGGCCATCAATGTGTACTTAAATTTCATTTGAACTCTTTGTGGTGGACCCCATAGACCTCCATTATATGACTGACAGACAAGAACGGTTTGACCTAAAAATATCAAAATTGAAACTACTGTGGAAACAAAGACACCATCTTGGATGCCCTCGAGTTAAGCTAAAACATACCAAAAATTAATTTCAAAGTGAACTATCCCTTTAAATCCTCCATATGTGATTGGAGGTTAATTATATTGGGTATATGGTTGTATAAGCACATTTATAGTGGTCTAAATATGTAATAATGGACTGCACCTCTCATCCTGAGTGTTTTTGAAAATCTTGTGCTGAGGTGCTGGACTTTGTTTGGCCGAGCTTGCTCCTGAGGGCGGACCTTTGTACTCTAAACCGCCAATCAAAACAGATGGATTGTCATATGAAATGCTAAGTATTAAAGTTTTTTTTTACCTCTGTATTATGACATAATAATGATAAATAAATAAGATCAAGAACGTTTTAACTACAAAAGCCTCTGTCAATTAATGCTTTTTTGTTGTATTATATTCATACCTGGGAGCCAACAGAAATCAAACATGACAGAGAAAAATGAACTGTGTATTTTCATGCTTTGTATTTTAAATAAGCTAGTAATTGGTCTAAGTGCCCTTTTTAAAACGTTCAATTTAAATATGAATGCATAATTAATATCAAATTCTGCTGTGGATATTAGCATTTTAATTGAAGCTACATCATTGCCCTGGTGTGACAAATCAAAGCATGAGGCACAGGTTGAGAATGCAGGAATATGTACTGCGGCAGTATTTATGTGACATTACATTAACTCACTCACCGTCCTCAGGAACCACGGTGAGCGTGACTGAGTTCCCTGCGTCTTTGATGAGCTGAACAATGTCGTTGTGGGAGAGCTCCACAATGGACTGACTGTTCACAGCGGATATGCGGTCGCCCACATTCAACAACCCGCAGCGGTCAGTTGGACTGCCCTCGATTATTCGTCCGATCTTATGAGGAATCACTGCAACACACACTTAGGCAAATCACTTAGCAGAATTAGAACGGCTTGAGTTTTATATATAGTATGTAATGATATAATGAATTAACTGTCTGAGTTTGTGCAAAACTGCTGGATGAAGCGGAATGGAACGGAGCGCATGGGTCCCAGGACACTCTTTAAAAGTTAAACTACTGTATGTTTAACACGACATGCCAAATGCAATGCAGGTGACACAAAATACTCAAAAAACAGCAACAAGTTTTGATACAACTGCCACGTACTTCCATTTACATGTGTATGGCTGTATTGGTGATACAAAGGTAGAAATTTAAGAAATAACTTTGAGATGAAAAACAATACAGATTTAAAGAACAGCACACAGTGAACATGACATTAAATCACCACTATTACGGTCAAATTAAATTATTAAATAAAAAAATAATATAAATACAACATCTAAAAGTAATAGACAGGTGAACTTTAGTAGACTTTACTAGTTGTTTATTACTGTATATATAAAATAAAATCAAACTAAATAGAATAATAAAATAAAATAAAATGTAAAAAATCAGGTAAAATATTTTATTGTTTTTAAAAATAAAAAAAGAAATATATATATATATATATATATATATATATATAATCATCAACTAGTAAAGTCTACTACTTTTAGGTGTAGTAGAGCCTTTAGATGTTGTATTTATATTATATATTTCTTTATTTCTTTATTTAATAATTTAATTTGACCTAAATAGTGGTGAGTTAATGTCATGTTGACCATGTGCTTTTCATCTCAAATTTGTTTCTTTAATATATATATAAACAATTAATTGACTTCTTTATTGCCCCCAAAAAACTGTTCTGAACTTTTCTTTAAATGTTTATAATTTTTCATCTCAAATTTGTTTCTTTAATATATATATATATATATATATATATATATATATATATATATATAAACAATTAATTGACTTTTTTATTGCCCCCAAAAAACTGTTCTGAATGTGTATTCTAACAATAGTTTTTCAAAATATGTCTTTTTAAACAACTAACAACCTTAATAATAATTTAGCAGTGAAATGCTGGTGCAGGAAACAGTGTCATAGTATTATGTGGTAAAAAACTGAATATTACATAAAATAAAATATAAGTATATAACCGTTTGAATAAGAACTGGTTCTTGATTCCAAATCCTAGCGATAAACATTTTATGTAAATAATATCAATGAATCTGCTGTTACCTCCAGGTGGCGGTTTGCTCTTTGAGGTGAGAATGACAAATCCAAAGCCCTCATTATCTTTACGATGGAGTGTGATATCAAATGACTCCTGGTCCTTAACACTTGGCACCTGGATACGGGGAAGCCGGGGTGAGCCATTCACAAGTGTCATTGCCCCGCTCCCAACATTCACTTGGGCATCTATAGAGCAGAAGATTACACAGACTGACCTTTAATAAAAAGCTATTCAGGCAGTTAATTACACTCCAGCACTGGTTTTTATGTCTAAGGCCTGTCAGTCAGCAGTGCTCACCTCTGTAAATGACCTTCCTGCGCACTGAAAGAAGCACTTGTCCGTTACGTGCTGCGTTAGTCATCAGATCCAGAACTTGTTTGTGAGATTTCCCCTTTACAATGATGCCATCGATGCCAACGAGCTCATCTCCGGCCCTCAGACGGCCTTCCTTCTCCGCCGCCCCCTGGGGAATGATGGCACCGATGTAGACCTAATGGAATTAGATGGATAGGTCCATTTTAGAGATAAGACACAAAAGTCGATCTGCGAATAAATCACATAAATACAATTCATGTATACAAATATTCAGTAATGTGGTTACGGAAGAATGAAGGACTTACTGGTTGTTCTGAGCCCTCTCCCCCAAGCACACGGAAGCCAAAGCCTGTGTCCTGATCTCGCTTAATGAACACGTCCAACTCCTTAGTGTGAGGTGCTGCATAACAATAGACAGATTTCCACGGTGGTATGATAAATAAATTGGAAATAAACCACATTCATCAATACATCACAAAAAAGTAAAACCAATAGGCCTATGTCACGAAATAATTGAAGACCGGAAGTACGTCTTTTAGTAGGGATACGGCTCTTCCGGTTAGCTTTTTACAATGGTGGAGTCCGATAGATACCGCTGGACCAAATCTCTCTTGTAGAAGGTTCCTATTGGCAATACTGACCCGGTAGCCTTGAGCAAATTGTTTAAGAAAATGATTCATAAAACTTAAATATCAGCTAAGCCTATGTTTACTTTCTTCACTGACAGATGAAAATGAGGTAATTTTTCCCTATTGCACCTATTATCAAAATTTTAGGGTTCCCTCACCCACCAAATAACACTCAATGTATATATATATATATATACCCACCTACTAGAATGTTTTCAACATCATGGTGCTGTAAATTAAAAGAGTTTCCTCCTTGCTGTCTCAGCTCAGCAAAGACTCACCTATGCTCTCCGGCAAAGCTTTGGGCTTGCTGTAGTGGAGGGAAGCGTCTTGTTTTGGAGAGCTACATGGCAGTGTGTTTGAGTGATAGGTCAAAGCCTGGGGAACCATGATGTCATGGCAACGGTCCAGAGTCTCAGTACTGGCACTCATCCCCGGTCTCTGTTGGAATACAAGGAGAATAAAACATGCTTTAATACCACCTCGCAGAGTGAACATAGATGACCTGAACAAGCAACATTTACAGTAAAACGGATTGCAGGGTGTGTCTTTTGAAAGAATGCAAGCATGTGTATACAGATAGATAGACTACAGAAACAATGTTTTTTGTTGGATCTTGCCTTCATGGTCTGGTTAGTGGAAAAAATATTAATTACAGTTTCCATTTCAAGAGTGACACTCAAAAACACTGTCTTTCACGAAACCCACAGGAAAATACAGCCTGACACGCCCAAACTATTAATGGTTTTGTTTTTAGTTACAGAATTTATAAAGCATTACATTTTAAGCAACTACATTTTTTACATTTACTGTAGAAAATATAAGTGATGTTGTCCACACACAAAACTCACCACCATGATACTAAGTTGGTTGCCAAGGATTGCAATGTGGGTATCCTGATGTTCTGTTTGCTGGGGCATTACTAAGTGCTATGGGCTACTTTTCTGGGTGGTTACCAGATGGTTACAAGAGTGTCCTGGGTGTTTGATGATTGATTTCTAAGATTTTCCTTCTGGTCGCTAGAAGTTATTAGGTGGTTTCTAGGGTGTTCTGCGTGGTTGCCAGTGTATTTCTACGGTGTCTGGGTAATAGTTAGGTGTTTTTTTGTTAGTGTTTTATTGTTGTGGTTACTACAAATAGTGTCATGAGTGTTTGATAACTGCTTTTTATGGTTTCTAAGGTATTTTAGGTGGTTGTTAGGGTGTTTCTAAGGTGTTCTGTGTGGTTGCCAGGGTATTTCTACGATGTTTGGGTGATAGTTAGGTGTTTTTTGTTAGTGTTTTATTGTTGTGGTTACTACAAATAGTGTCACGAGTGTTCGATAACTGCTTTTTATGGTTTCTAAGGTATTTTAGGTGGTTACTAGGGTGTTTCTAAGGTGTTCTGTGTGGTTGCCACGGTATTTCTACGGTGTTTGGGTGATAGTTAGGTGTTTTTTGTTAGTGTTTTATTGTTGTGGTTACTACAAATAGTGTCATGAGTGTTTGATAACTGCTTTTTATGGTTTCTAAGGTATTTTAGGTGGTTGTTAGGGTGTTTCTAAGGTGTTCTGTGTGGTTGCCAGGCTATTTCTATGGTGTTTGGGTGATAGTTAGGTGTTTTTTTTTGTTAGGGTTTTATTGTTGTGGCTACTACAAATAGTGTCATGAGTGTTTGATAACTGCTTTTTAAGGTTTCTAAGGTATTTTAGGTGGTTGCTAGGGTGTTTCTAAGGTGTTCTGGGTGGTTGCTAAGGCATTTCTATTGTGTTCTTGGTGGTTGTTAGGTGTTCTCTTTATTATTGTATGTTTACTACAAGGTGGTTTCTATAATGTCTTGGGTGTTTGATAACTGCTTCTTATGTGTTTTAAATTGTTGCTAGGGTGTTTCTAAATTGTTCTATGTGGTTTCAATGGTTTTCTAGGTGGTTACTAGGAATGTTTGGGCTGTTCTGGGTGATTTCCATGTTTTTGTTTACAGGCCAGAGTCAAGTGCCCACCCACAAGTCTCTATGGTTTTCTGATCCCTCAAAATCCTTCTTCAAAGTAAGTCTATGGGACAGTTTTGCCTGTTTTATCATACTCAAGTGAAAATTGTACATCTAATCACTTAAAAAATGTACAAGCCACAGGATTAATTTATGTCGCCAGTGCAAATGGTGTGGAATGTGTTAGTGTTACTACAGTATCACACTTTAGTACTTTACAGGAAGGGAAGCTTGAGAATTGAGAAGATATTTCATAAGCACAAAACAAAATATTCTGCCATTTTCTCAGTTCTACAAGGTCATTATCACATCTGAAAATCTGTTATCATACTCACAGGTCGTAAACTCTTCACTGGTGATGTATGACCTAGAAACAGAAAAAAAAAGCCAAATGAGAGACATGTAGCACTGAAAGAGAAAAAAATGGGGGAACAGGCACTCATCAACAAACAGATGAAAGAAAAAAAAACAGGAAGTCATTACTGAGAAAGTTTCTAGCCTTATTATAATGACAGCACTTCTTGGTTGTTGCCTCTCAAACATGAAAAAGGCATGAGAATACATTGTTTCAGTGCTACATTATTAATTCCCATCCATCTAACTAAAAAGCTACTCGAAGAGCAAATGTCATTCAAGTGCTTTAAAGTGGGGCGTTTCCTGAGCCAATTCCGAGCTGAGTAAAATCATGACACATGCATCATCTAGGAGCCATTAAAGATGGATAAAATAAATGTACATAAGAGAAAATTATGATGGATACTACACATGAATTCTCCAGCGCGAGAGACATTGCAAATGAGAGAAGTCATGCGTAAAATAATGACGCAGCAACACTTCCATCTGTCAATTCAGAACCCACGCCGTTTATTCATTCCCTTTGTTTTCTGTCTTTCTCTTGATTGGTGTGATTTCCATTGAATTTAATGGCTGAACCATAAATGACGCAACTCACTCAGCCTTTGAGGGTTAATGAAACTGATTAAAGCACTGTCTCATTTCCCCCCTCCCGGTTTCGTTCAGCAGACAATAAATCCTCACAGAACTCTTTGCAGACACATCCTAAAATTCCCCTGCCCTGTAATCTAGACTCATTTCCCAAATTCCCAGCCAACCCCACAGAGTGGGTTGCAAAAATGCAAAGGGGCCTCTCCTGCCAACTGTGTCAGGAGCAACGGTCCATCATTCTTACATAATGCCTTCCTGAGAGACGCAGCCTGAGTATGATCAGTGAGCGTGGAGGAAAGGAGAACACGTGTGTGGCTAAAATGTTAAAATTATGAAGAGGGAAAAGAATGGAAATGATTTCTCACCTGCTGAAAAATGGAGAGATAAAAAAGAGACAAAAGAGGAAAGAGCCTTTATGCAATTCCCTGCTGAAAAGACCAGCATGCTAGAGCTGCTCACCAGTATACAGTCTGTTATGGATGCAAGTGGTTTTCTGAGAAACGTATAAATATTAAGTGAAGTGCGTGTTTAAAATAAGGGGAAAACCCTGGAAATGGGGTTCTTATTCAATTCAACTTAATTTAAAAAACAAGATTTTTTTATATTTATTTGTTAAAAAGCATAATAATGTTCATGTATTTCTCAAAAAAAAAAAAAAAACTGCAAACACTGTCCATTTTAATATCAGTGTCAGGTAAGAGTAAGATATTTGTCTAGATTTCTCTGCTCATTTATGCTGTTTTGTTATAAACATCCACTGCTATAAACTCAAGAAGTTTACTAAATTGTATCAACAAATAATAAATTAAAAGACATACTTATACGGGATTAGAGTTTCTACTCAAACGTCATTTAAAAAACTAGTTCTATGCGAATGGGGCTTAAGAAAGTGACTTTTTGCAGTATACTCTTTCTAAATATTGTAATTTTACTTAAAAATACGACGTATTGAATGATGGCTTGACAGAAGCTTGTCTGAAAGTTCAAAGAATAAATAGTATGACTGTTTTATTCATGTTCGCTTTTTATACACTTCATGCTTGTCAAAGTTAAAGTCTTTAAAGTCTTTTCAGCAGGGTTTTACTAGGAATGCTTAAGATTCCTTTTGAGTGTGTGTGCATGTGTGTGTGTGTGTGTGATGGATAACAGAGGAAAGTTTTAGTTTGAAAGTCTACAAAATACCAAAAAAGAAAAAAGATTTCTTAAAAGATAACAAGACCCCTTTAAATTGTCATTGGTCACCATATGCCTATACTATATGGCTATACTACCTAAACTCTATAACTGCCTAAAGGCCCAAAACATACTCTACACAAGAACTCTTACATTGATGCATTTGGCTGACATGTTTATCCAAAGTGACTTACATTGCAATCAAGCTGTACATTTGTGATTTAATACAAGATTCCCTGGTCATTAAAGGAGTAGTTCACTTTAAAAAAAAAAAAAGAAATTAAGGTTTTTGATGAAAATATTCCAGGATTTTGTCCATATAATGGACTTCATTGGGAACCAAACGGTTCAAGGTCCAAACGAGGCTTTAAACGACACCAGACGATGAATAAGGGTTTTATCTAGGACCTTTCGAGTCATGACTCGAAAAAAGATTTGTTAATTTAGATGAACGACTTCGAACAGGAGAGTCACGAACGCTCATCACAGAACAGAGCAAGGCGAGCATTTGTGCTTATAAAACGTAAAGTTTTTTATTTATTTTTTAAATGACAGATCGTTTCACTAGATAAGACCCTTATTCATCGTCTGGTGTCGTTTAAAGCCCTTTGAACAGTTTGCAATGAAACTCTCATTTGGACCTTGAGCCATTTGGTTCCCATTGAAGTCCATTATATGGAGAAAATCCTGAAATGTTTTCGTCAAAAACCTTCATTTCTTTTCGACTGATGAAAGAATGACATGGACATCTTGGATGACATGGTGGTGAGTGAACTACTTCTTTAAGGAGAAAGTATATTTAGTATGCAATACTTCAATGAGCTCATTGTTTCTGCCTTAAATGGTTAAATTGTTTAAAGTAATACATTTTTAGCTAATTGTGATTTTGTATATGTACATTTCTGAAATACATAAATTACACAGTTACCTCTGATAACAGATCGCTCTAAATTGTAATGTGGACGCATGCATTTTCTGTAAAGCTGCTTTGAAATGATATGTATTGTGAAAAGCGCTTTGCAAATAAATGTGAATTGAATTCAATTTTCTGTAAAGCTGTTTTGAAACGATCTGTATTGTGAAAATAAACATGGCATCAAACCTAGTGTTGCTAGTGCCATGCTTAAGCTACAGGAACACAGGACAAAGCAGTCTAGCTGCATTTTACATCATGCTGTGTTTTGTGTTAGAATGCACGTCATAACGCAAAAGAAATGTGCATTGGATTCACAGAATCGCAGCAAGAGCCACCATCAGTGTAAACGTTCGGCTTCTTCTGTTTGTGCAGTCCATGTTTATGGCCTAAACAGATCAGTGGGATGTGCCACACACCCTCCCGCTCTCTTACCTCCTCTCAACACCAACAGATTCACCTCGCTCCCCACAGGGAGGTCCTTCAGTATATCCACCACCTGCGCGTGGCTCAGCGTTTGCACATTTTGCCTGTTAATCTCCTTTATCACGTCTCCTTTCAGCAGTCCTCGGCACCACTGCTCATCCAGGATCATTTTCACCTTCTGCCCCAACGGACAGTCTGCAATGGCAAAGCCAAATCCTCCAGGCCCCTTCACGATTGGAACGCTCACCAGCTCCGGTTGCAGCATCCCCGTCTCCGGCCTATCGTTGGCACTGATGCCTCCCGGAAGCGCAGCGACCACCGGCCGCCCGTTGGCATCTGTGGTCACATAGTGAAGCTCTTGGGAGGAACCGTGGAGGGCGTCACCTTTGACCAGCAGCGGCTGGCCGTTGATGAGGGGTACCGCGGTTACGATCTCTCCTGTCGGAGGGGGAGGAGGAGGAGGAGGAGGAAGGTCCTCGCTGTCCGTATTCACGTCAGGGGGGAGCAAGTATCCGTGACAGAGGACCATGTCCACGTACTGGTTAATTGGGATGCACTGGAACATGTGGACCACATCTGCATGCGTCTTGCCCAAGACAAGTGTGCCGTTGATTTCCACAATAACATCACCTTGGATTAGAAGAGAGGAAATTTGACAGGAATGAGTAAAGAAAGAACTGAAGAAAAGAATCATTACAAAGTGGATGAACACTTTTTCTAATACGTTTGTGCTTTTGAAAGATAATAGAAATAGTTCACACAAGAATTGAAAATTCTTTCATTATTTGTTCCAAACCTGTGTATTTCTCTATAAAACTTTGAAGATTTTTTCAAACAGGTCTTTTTTATTTACACATCTGAAAAGCTACAAAAATCACACCGAGCAGTTTGTGTGACTTTATGGCATATTCCAAGTTTTTTGGAATGGGATCAGTGAATGAATTATTCTTTTAAATTAGTTTCTTTTCAATGACTCGGCAGATACAGTTCATGAATAAGACTTTTTCCTCACTCACAGACTCAATGATCCACAGCAGTTCTCTAGATAACGGTTATCAGTGAATAAGGACATACATTTCAGACTTTTTTGGTTAACATCTGGATTTTCTCTATATAATGGACTTCAATGGGAACCAAATGGTTCAAGGTCCAAATGAGAGTTTTAGTGCAGCTTCAAAGGGCTTTAAAATACACCAGACGATGAATAAGGGCCTTATCTAGTGAAACGATCGGTCATTTAAAAAATTAATAAAAAAGTTTAAGTTTTACAAGCACAAATGCTCGCCTTGCTCTGTTCTGTGATGAGCGTTCGTGACTTTCCTGTTCATCAAAATGAAAAAATCTTTTTTCGAGTCATGACTCGAAGGGTCCTAGATAAGACACTTATTCATCGTCTGGTGTCGTTTAAAAGCCCTTTGAAGCTGCACTGAAACTCTCATTTGGACCTTGAACTGTTTGGTTCCCAATGAAGTCCATTATATGGAGAAAAATCCTGGAATGTTTTCATCAAAAACCATTTTTTTTCGACTGAAGAAAGAAAGACATGGACATCTTGGATGACATGGGGGTGAGTAAATATCAGAAAAAGTTTTTTTTTTAAAGTGAACTACTCCTTTAAGTCACACATAGGTTAACTTTCTAATAATTGTGGATGTTTCACCAAACACCTTTTACCAAACTAGGCATCACTCACCAGAGGCCATCTTGTTGTCCTGTGCGGCGGGGCCATCAGAGAGAACGTTCTTCACCTGCAGGAACTCATCAGGTCGGTCTCCACCAATGATGGTGAAACCAAACCCCTGCTGGCTCTTCCTGAGAGCCGTGTGATACAGCTCCCCCTTCAGTTGGGTGGCGTCCCGTGTGAATCCAGGTGTACCAGCCGCTCCACCTACAGAGACAGATGAGAAGAAGACATAGAACATCTGTGATGACTTCACATAAAATATGCACAAAGACGAAACTGTAAACAGCTAGACATTGATATAGTAGATGTGTTTGATACATACAAGCAACAAATACGGAAGTGTATTGCATTCACTTGAAGAAACAAAATCTACTCTGTTTTTCTGAATTAAAAAGTATTTGGATTTGAATTAATGACACTTCCGTGTCTCAAAAATTAGGAGTAACTAATTAGTTCATTAAACAGAGTAAAAAAAAACAAAAAACATTTTTTCAAGAAAAATATATCTCATAATTCTGAGATAATTAACACGTTAATTCAGAAAAACAGAGTAGATTTTGTTTCCTCAAGTGAATGCAATACGCTTCCATACAAACGCACATATTTTCTTTTTTCTATTATGTTCCTAATATCAGTAACCAAAGTCTATTATGGGATACTTTCACTAATATGGTCAAAAAATAGACCTGAAACATAAATTAGACCATAAATTAGTCAACTGACAATCTCAGGAGGTTTTTTTTTCTATTAATTTTATATGAGGTTTGCACTTTTGCTGTAAATAAATTGTAGATTTTGTTTAAGAAAATTAAAGACACTATATATATAAATGGGTAACCGGGTTAAAAATGTAACCTTAATTAAAATGTAATTAGGTACAAGACAGCCTGTTTGATAAACTTCAAAGTGAGATTTATGAATGCAGTTAGACAGACAGACAGACAGACAGACAGACAGACAAGATAGATAGATAGATAGATAGATAGATAGATAGATAGATAGATAGATAGATAGATAGATAGATAGATAGATAGATAGATAGATAGATAGATAGATAGATAGATAGATAGATAGATAGATAGATAGATAGATAGATAGATAGATAGATAGATAGATAGATAGATAGATAGATAGATAGATAGATAGATAGATAGATAGAACAACAGACAAAATAGACAGGCAGATTTCATGAAACTATCCTTTTCTTGAGCAGGATTGTCCTATGTATGACTGACATGTAATTAAAACAGCAAATCATTCCAAACATCTGGCGTAGTAAACATAACCATTAACAACTCTATCTTTGACAGAGTAGACAGGACATTAATCATTAGCGGACTCGACCTCACACTCTTTTAATATACATCCATCCTTTGGGTTCCCAGAAGGACTGAGGGAATGACAACACTTACATCCTCAGTGTTGGACAACCTTCATAAACTTTCATCACCAGGGTGTGGAGTTTTCCAGCTAATGTTCCATGGCTGTAAGTGAGAGTTATAAGTGCAACTTTGTGTTTTACTCCCATGGCTGCTCTGACTCACACTTTTTGTACTTCCTTTCAGTAAAGATGAAAACAGTTTTCCAAGTCACCAGCGAAGTTTCGAAGACTGGGCATCACACTGTTTTGATGAGCTATTGTACTGCATGTGCTGTAATGACAGCTGAGAATCTCTATGGAGGAATGCCTGTCAAAACATTGATTTTGCCATTTTCTCCAGGACAGATTAGAGAAAAGAGAGGAAATTATGATAGTGAATGGGTTTTGAAAATTGTCCCAGCAAGACTCAAAGACAAGGGAATCGTCTGTGTCTGTAACGGGTTAACATGTCATAGGATGTGCACTCATATATTGATTTTCCCTTAATCTAAAGTAACTTAAGTTGCTGGTTAGTGCCACCTATTTAACTGCAACCAATTGTAAGTGTGCTTGGGTTTATCGTTATATTAATAGAATATGAAAATATATTAATATGTATTATTATGTGTATTAATAAACAATCAATGTTATTATATTCACATTTTTGTTTTTAACATTCTAAATATTGGTATAATAATTAAATAGGTTATACAAAATAAATATAAATCACAAATAATATATATTTATTTTATTCAATTACCACTAAAAAGTTTGGGGTCAGTAAATGTTTCTATTGTTTATGAAAGAAGTCTCTTCTACTCACAAAGGCTACAATAAAACATTAAAATTGTGAAATATTATAATACCGGTAATTTAAAATAACTGTTTTCTATTTTAATATATTTTTAAATTTAATTTATTTAATTTTCAGGATCATTACTCCAGTCTTCAGAGTCACATGATCCTTCAGAAATCATTCTAATATGCTGATTTGATGCTCAAGACACATTTATCATTATTATCAATGTTAAAAACAGATGTCCTGCTTAATATTTTTTTTATTAATAGACTCTTTGATGAATAAAAAACAGCATTAATTTGAAATGGAAACATTTTCTAAAATCGTAATTGTCATTTTTTGACCAATTTAATGAGTCCTCGCTAAATAAATCTATTAATTATTGAATAAACATACTGACCCCAAACTTTTGAACGGAACTGTAATCTAATAAATATTAAGGTAATATTTAGAAACTATAAAAATGTAGGTAAGTACAAAGTTTGCAAAAGGTTTTAAACAGTAAAAAAAAAATACTGTTCAAAATTGATAAAACACTATTTGGATGTGAGGGGCAACCGAGTTTATACATCCACCGAAATCATGTTGGTGAACATTTCAGAAAGCATCATCGTCTGTAGATGGCACTTGATTTGTGGTTTTGTTATCTAAAGCAATAAAACTTGACTCACCACTGCCATGGTAACTGACCGTTTCAGTAAAGTAAAAGAAAAAGTGCTTTTTCCTCTCGTCCTTCCCTCAACCCATAATGACTGAATAGAGTCTATTTTACACTATATTCACATCCAATCAAAACCCTCAGACTCATGTGTCATCCTTTTCCCTGCTGTTACTGTCATCTCTGCTTCGATAACCACAGTTCACTTCAGTAGAAATGGATTTACTGGCTCAAATGGACAGTAGTCACTGTTTCCAGAAATTCAGAATGAATATGAAGAAGTAAAGTCATGTTTTAGAGAGGGACTGATCAAAGAGAGGCAATAGGAATGCGTGATGGATGCTAATGTTCTCTTTTATGTTAATGCAGCCTGTGATGTGCTGCAAAGCAATCTCTATAACATTTATATCCCCATCCATTCACCCTAAAACAGCACTCTCTCTTCCTCAGGTTTTTTTTTTTTTTTTTCGCACATGCTCAAACACATCTATAATGCATCCAGTGTAATGGAAGAATCTTTAATTCATCATATTGAGAATGGCAGATGACTCACTGTTCTTTAATCTTATCTTTCTGTCCTCTTTCCCTCACATACACAATCATTCACACAGCGAGCAGCCCGTGTGTTTGTCTCCGGGCTGCTGTCGGGAAATTCTAACATGCTTTGCTGTTTCCTTTACACTCGTAAACTCAGTTAAAATTCACAGATGGCGTCGGTGTGTGCTTGTACCTGGAGGAGGTGCTGCCCTCTGTTGGGTCTGGGTTGCGACTGCAGTGTCCAAACCGAGTTTCCTCTTGGCCTCTAGAACCGGATTTTCGAACTGGGTTCTCTGGTTTACGTGACTGAGGAAGGCAAGAGAAAGTTTATAAGTACCGCTAACCTATACTTTCATACGCATAAAAACAAATACAATCATGTCACAACACTTACTCAACGTAGTATGTGCCATACTGCGGGTCATCAATCTCCTCCCATCCGTACGGAAGTTCTGATGATGAAGGAGTGAGAGTGTTGTGTTTATATGCAAATCCACACAAACGCTGCCGCAACATCATTAACAACAGCGTGCAGCACTTTAAAGGGGTCATATCATGAAGAATCAGATTTCCTTGATATTTTAAATGTAAAATTACTTTCAGGGGTTAGCTAATCATAACAAAGCGACTGTGTTTACCTTAAAGTAGCCTGGTTGGTGTAAGGTTATTACTGAAGGTGTGAAATGGCAAAAAAGTTTTTGTGTGGTGTAAAAATGTCACGTTAATTAACATTACATGTTGACTTTTTAGGGGGCAGGTTGGGAGAATTAAATATATAAAAATTATATATTTTTATATATCATTTATATATCACCATTTATATATCATTTTTATATATCACCCCCCCCCCCCCCCAAAAAAAAAACAACAACAAAAAAAAAACAAATAATGACCAGTTTGCAACATTTAGAAAGAAAAGTATTGAAATTATAATTAAATTAGTAAATTATATTGATTATATTTACAACATTTCCACAGCATTATATTACTGTAACATTAAATAGCACTATTTAGCACTATTTTATTAGATGCACTTTTTCCAATTAGAATATGTTTCAAATCCATAATTTGTGTTCCTAACATATTTATTTAATAATGGAGAATATCTCTAGGGTATTTAAGATGTATTTAATTTTCATAAAAATTTTATCATACTACCATACCCTAAACGACTAAACAACTTATGGTGCTTAATAATGTGTCATAAGATTTCAATAAATTCGATTTTGTAGAATGCAAATCATATAAATGAGACTTCAAAAGATTGCATGTTTTGAAAGGAAATAGTTAAATAAACAGCCACTCTTTGTGTGTGTGTGTGTATCCCCTCTGCTGTACGTACATTATGCCCAAATGAACTAATGAGGAGGAAAAAAAAAAGCTGTTCACGCTACAGAGAGCTTCACACACACTCAAAGAAAAGTATTGTGCACCAGTGCGCATATAGCACAGGACTATAAAACTCGCTTAAAAGAGCAGCTACATTTTGTTAGACATCATGTGTTCTTATGTGTGTATGTGAAAAGGCAAGAGGAAGCGAATGCATTCAGATGAGGTTATGCAATCATGCCCTCTGCTATGTGAATGTGGAAGACTGCTCACATCTGATAGAATGAAATTTAATTTCTATTTGCATATGCATGTATCTGTCATATGGGTCAAATCTGTCAAATGTGTAGATGCAATGATTCACCTCCATCCTCACACTTTTCAGGGGGCTTGGCTTTTTTGACCAGCCGAGGGTCCAACCACGTAGTCGACTTTGTGTTGTGGCTATGAAACAAAAAAAAATGTAATTAGATAAAATACCTGTATGTAACAAAAAATGCAGAGTACCAAACACCCCAACTCACTATAAGTTTGCTAGACTGTTTTGTTCTTATTTCATTAAAATAAACTAGGCTGCTACTTTCAGCTAATGAACCTTCATGAACTGACTAATGGCAAGCATCGAATGTTCCCTGATGCAAATGAGTTACGTTATTAAATCGAAACCGCAGAAATGCTTTATGCAACCATAATTAGTTAATTTATTGTTATGAATAGATCAATTAGTCGATTAATTCAATGTTAGTGCTCTTTGTCAATAATTGTATTATTTAGGTCTATTTTTCCCCATTGCATTAACTTTTGATATGGGCTAATGTGATGCGTCAAAGAAAGTCGCATTACAAAGTCTTGGTAGGTCAAAGAATGTGAGATTTTTATTGGACTGTAGTTATGAGTCTTATAAACTGAACTGGAAAATGTTTGGAACCTCTAAAATATTTATGATTGCGACCCCAAACGCACACACAGAAACAGAACTTTGACTCTGTTCTTTAAAGAGCATCTAGGCCACACTGCGAGCTATATTTATTCTGTTCTGACAGCTCTGCTCTTGACTTTAAAAAGCAACACTACTTTAAGAAAAAGTGAGAAAAACATCAGATATCAGCAAGACGGGGAGAGAAAGTGATAAAGTATGCTGTTTGTGAAAATAGAAATTGGAATACTATGTTGATGAAGTTTGAGACTCAACCTGAAAAGAATTTTGACAGCAGTGCTATGAAGGGGGAAATGCGCTGCCTGCTAACAAATATTGGGCAGCAAATTTAGAAACAGTAAATAAAACCTTTGTATAAATATACAACTTACATAAAATGTCTTTGCATACTACTCCTGCATCAAAATATCCCTTTAAGAGCCTCCGGCAATAAAAAAAAATGAAAGCACTCTGCAGTAATACTACAGCGGCATTATAAATGCAAAACAAAACACAAAAACAAACAAAAGAATATCCTGTGGTATTGTGTATAGTGCATCAAATCCCATATGCCATTCAGTGGCATGAAAACAATAATAAACACAGAATACAATATCCTGTGATATACAGTGTTGTCAAATCAGCAATGCGACAACAAAAAACTTCAAGGTGTATATTCGGTTCAAGGGTTGACAGACATTTATAATGGTCTATAATGGATATTATTCATATTATTTACAGAATATATAAATAGTTTTTTTTCAATAACATAAAATATATTATTTTTATAATTCAACATTATTAATGAAAATTACTCATGAATAGTATCATGTAACTGAATGTTGAAATTCACCTTTCAAATACAATATTCTCAATGCTATGAACAGGTCTTATTATAGGTGACATCAGCAGACCTCATGCAGTTACTAAAGTCTCCTCTTATGGCCACACACTCACTCTATGAAGTAGACCATGCCCGTCTCGGTGTAGGCCATTTCCCAGTTGTAGGGCAGGGGCTCCAGGCTGTCGTCTCTGGGTAAAGAGCTCCAGGTGCGGAGCTCCAGTGTCCCGCTGCCTCCTGCACTGCCTCCACCACTGGACTGAGTGTAGCTGGGCACTGCTTTCCTCCACTCCTCTGTCCTCTCTACAGAAGGAAACAAGATAAAAAAGTATAATGCAAAACTAAGGCCGCTTATATTTTGCATGTCAAAGTAGGATGGTGTGCAAGCAAGATCTTTTTCTGTTTCAGGTACATAGCAGAAAAAATATATAGCCACAATTCAATGATATAATTAAATTATTATTAGCACAAATTAATTATACATACATTTTTTTTTAGTTTTCATTTTTATATCATATTTGCACACACATATATACATATATATATATACTGTATATATATATGTGTGTGTGTGTGTGTGTGTGTGTGTATGTATATATATATATATATACACACACATATATATATATAAACATAAACCTTTTGCTAATAATATATAGCAAATGTAAAACTGCCTGATTGTTATTTCATAAATAACAAAAATAACAATATTAATATATTGAAAGTTATATAAATTGTACATCCAACTTAATCAGCATCCAGTAAACTCATGTAAAGTAATATAGACCATTTCACAAGATGTAAACAAGACTGGTCCAGAAGCACTTCCTGTTTCAGTTTGTAGCTGTTTTCTTTATTTCACATGTAAAGAAAACATCTTAAAGATGTTTGTTTAACTTTTTGATTCAGTTTTAAATGTTCTGTTGGTTGTATTTTATCCCAGCTTTTATGTAGTGTTAAAAAACTGAAACAGGAAGTGCTTCTGGACCAGTGTTGTTTACATCTTGTGAAATGGTCTATAGACTATGGCAATATATAGCAAACAATTTGATTTGTGATTGTTTATATCTTCACACAAACAAAGTATATATATATATATATATATATATATATATATATAACAAATGTATATATTGTATATACGTATATATATAATATGTACATAACAAAGTATGTATATATGAACTGCCAAAAGTCTTAAAGAGTGAGTCACTGAATCATTCAGTCAGTCAATTTGTTTAAAACGGGTGATTCATTCAGGTACAAAGCAAGTGTCTTTATGAGTGAAATTGTTGGGTCGTTCATTGACATGGAGGGGCAGGGCTCTTTTTCGAGCACAAGTGTGAAAAAGTTCTGTTGCGAGTCTTGTTTCATGTTTCATATTGTGTCCAACTATACAATTCACTCACGTAAAGCAATACACTGTATAATCTCAACTGCCTTATTTTATTTTGTTGCTAAATGTAACTATGTTATTGTCTAGCTCTATGTATAAAGTAGGATATATAAAAAGCACATACAACTTTATCCACATACACGCAATACTCGAGTAGGCCGAAATACACTATAGCATGCGTGTCTCAACTGCTTCATCACAAAATGTAAACTATTATTTCTCAGCTCTAATCTGCAAAATGTGACAATAAGGCATGAAAATATTAAGATATATTACAAACATTAACATCACGATTTTCTGTGAAGTGGCTTTAAAACACTATTGTAAAAAGTGCACAAAAAAACCAACAACATTTGACTTGGTTATTAGCACGCAATATGATTTACGGTATCTTACCAAGCATTACTAATTTAAATCTGATTCATTACTAATCTGATGGATTCTGCATAGATTTACATATCATTCAAAATCCGAAAATTGACTAAATGCACATAATTTGATGCAGTAAAAAAATGGCAACAGCATAGGAAGAAATGTCCGTGGTAATAATCAGCTCTGTGTTTATATTTAAAAGCAGTAAGTGTGTGTGTGCATGCATGATAACGAATTCACTGCCATTTTCCCTCTTTTTAAACACACTTGAAGTGGCAGAAAGCCTTTAAAGAAAATATCACACTATTCCGCAGCAAGAACACTCCCCATTAAATCTCTTTTAACATGAGCCAAGGGACTACTTACTTCAGCGAATATTCAACAACTATTCCCTCTTCACTGACTTATGCCAATGCTGGGGGGAAAGACCTCAACAGTCCCAGCAGTCAAACATGGCTATACAAACTCAATAGCTTTTAATTAATAACTGTGTCAAGGAGTCTAAGAGAAGGCAACCACATCTACATAAGGATAAAACAAGGATACTTTAGAGGTTCCATTGAAATACAATAGTAATTTGATCAATTAACTGCCATGATACTTTATGTTGGTGAAACTCAAGCCCTGAAAGTTTAAATCAGTTTATACACCTTTATATTCCACACATTTTATATACAAACCGATATACACAACCAAAGAATAGTATAAGAACATAATTTAATACTGAGGGTATAAGCTTGGTTGCTCCTGGGGACACTTGTGGCTTATACCATATTAAGTCAAAAGCAAGGGTTAAAAGTTAAAGCCCCGTAAACATCTAAGCAGCTCATTTATGTTTAAAGCAGATTCACAACAGGGTCATGGACATGAATCATTCACGCATTAGCCAAGCCATTATGGAGCAGTGACTCGCTTACCAAATGCAACTCTGAATTACTGCAGTACACAAATAGAGCATAAATTTCAGGCCTCGAGCCTTGAAAGCACAACCGCTGATCTCAAAAGGATTATAAGGTTATACTGTGAACTAATGAGAGCATGTGAGCAGAGGGTTTGGCTGTTTTTTAAGCAAAGCTTGCCTCTCTGTGCTGAGTTCTCCTTGAGAAAAGGACAAGGATCTTCTCTGAGAGATCAAACAAGGCCTCAGACTGATCATTTGCACATGAGTTAAGCAGACTGCCGGTTAAAGCCTCAAGCACACAACAAGTTTGGAAAAGATTTGCTGTGGGGCAAAATCAACAGTCTTCGATCACATTTGACATGCTCCCTGATAACCAATCGCCTGTGGGATGAATCTTCATTTCTAATGAAGTTCTGACAGTTTCACATATTTTGGGTCACAATCCTGCAGTAAAATGGAGTCGGTCAAAGATGGAGAGACTCAAGAAGAAGTGACAACATGTAGAATGCAACAGGACGTCTCTGAATGGTTAGTTGATAAATTTATGTTGCTGATGTGGAGTTAACTATCTTCAATTAGCATATTCTGTCAGGATAATCTATGAATCGCTCATATAGGAACTGTTGTGAGATGCACACGGAGTGACTTTAAATTGTATGTGAAAAGATGCATGCTAAAGTTTGAGTTGACTCACAAACTTACTCCTATACAACAACTTTTCCTCTTCTCAACATGGACTGCGTGTTCCCGGGGGCGGGGTTTATGTACATTTTAGGGTTGGTGATGTCACTAACCCGGGAGGAAGCTTGTGTAGTCCCTACGAGTCCCGATTTCTTTAAAAGCAAATATCTTCCTTTGCTTTGAACTTTGAGCGTTGTAACTTTGATAATGTTGTTTATGTTCAAACAGCAACATTTCACACTAACTAAAGTTAGAAAAGTGAAATCATACTTAACCACCCCTTTAAATAAAGAACTGGTAGTAAAATACAATATTAATATTAGAGGAAAGACTCAAATACCGTAAATGTTTAAGTTGAAGCACTAAAATTATTAAAAATAAAATAAAAATGAATTAAAGCTAAACAGAAATGTGTTACAAAATAAAAAAATCCTAAACTACAATTAAAATAAAAACTGAACATAGAAAAAAAAAGTTAATTTAAATATTAATAAATAGGGCGGGGCAATGATTAATCGCGATTCATTGCATCATCCAAAATAAAAGTTTGTGTTTACATAATATATGTGTGTGTGTGTGTGTGTGTGTACTGTGTATGATTATTTTGTACATAAAAATCCACACACATGCATGTATATATTTAAGAAAAATGTGTTATTAAAATATAAAATTAAATATTTATATTTAAAATAAATTATGTATAAATACATACATGCAAAAATTTCTTGAATATATACATGCATGTTTGTGTATTTATAAATATACACACTACACACACATATATTATGTAAACACAAACTTTTATTTTGGATGTGATTAATCGCGATTAATCATTTCCCAGCCCTATTAATAAATAATATAATAGTTTATAAATACTACTAAAATAATCAGTATGGGTGACTAATTTTTTGAGCGAAATCTATCTCTGCAGTCATACAGACTGTGGTTAACACAAGCACACACACACTAAAGTCCATCCACTGACCTGGGATGCCATTTGGGAGCTGTGGCCGTTCCTCATCCTCTTCCTCCTCAGGGACGACGCTGTCCTTTCGGTCCATCTTACTGACAGAGGTGGTTCGCTTTCGCTGGACTTCAGAGCCATAATCCTCCTCAAACAGAACCTGGTCCACCAGGTCCGGCTGAATCAAGTTTGGCTCCGCAGGAGGTTTGGGTGTGCCATAGAAGTTACCTGAAGAAATGAAGAACTTGTTTTGATTGATGACATCTTTAAAAAAAGTCATGAGAATAATTACTTGCGAGGGTTCGTGTAACATTTTTGCTACATAAGCTTTGATTTCTAAAGCCACAAATAGTTTAGTTTGATGAAACAGCGGATTTGGTAACAGGAGCTTCGTGCAAATCTGCTTCTTTATCGCTACCCCCGCTTTCTTCCTCAGTTCCAGCTTTCTCAAAAATGTAGATCAAGGTGTCGACTATCCAATATGCAGTGTGAAATGTTATACTTTCCGTTCAGTGGCTCCATGAAAGTAATTACACTCACCACTGGATTCAGTAATGAAACTTTTCCCACTATCTTCTCATGCAAAATTCAGCTCATTAATATGCATCAGAAACAATGGTACAGCCAATCAGTGGAGCAGCATTATGCATTTAAATTAATTACTAATTTGATGTACATGTCAATGTGTGTGTGTGCTTCATCATTCCCTCTTGATGTAAGACTAAATAAACCACTCTCAGTATGATTAGATTCAGTCAATGGAAAGGCGTCTTTTCAAATCAACCATTCAACCTTCAACAATTATACACAGATTCATTTAAATTATCCAAATTTGTTGTTTTGTTTCTTCGCTCCCTTCATCCTGAAAATAAATATGCTGCCCCTAGAAGTCATTAGCATCTGTTTAAGAAAAAGAAAAACCGCCTTTTAAGGTCACATTTTCATCTTTTGCCAATGTAGAGAATATAATCCTTGTAATCAGTCGAAAGATTAATCCTCTTCTTTTTAGATTGTGAATTCTAAAGAGTTTAATTAGCAAATAGAAACTGAAACCATGTGGGAATTAGGCTTTTTCACAAGCAATTAACTACTGTTGACAACTTCGCTCACCTCTCATGAATATGCAGTGATGAATATTCACTCCTTCCCTCTCTGTCTTTCTTCATTATACAAATGGATCTCCTTCTTTCCAGTGTCACAGTGTAAGGAAACTGTTTGTGCTGCTACCACAACATTTGTTGTACATTATGTGTGCGTCATCATGCGAAAACAGCATGTTACCAAGACTATAGTCTCACTGAGAGAAACATTTTAAAATCAGGATAAATTCCGGTCCAGTTTGCAGTTTATTATGGTGAAGAAAATCTGCACAATTAGACAGGAAGGTTGCCTGAACAAGATTTAAATCAACCAACAACAGTTGAACTTTGTTAAGTGGCATACAACCCTAAAAAAATGTTTTTATCTTACTTACCCCAAACTTTTTTTAACAGTAGCCTACCTGTATATCATGGTTTTACTCAAAAATATCAAGAAGCAAAAACGGTTTCAACATTGATAATAACAAGAAATGTTTCTTGAGCAACAACACTGTATGTATATATATATATATATATTCAAGATTTGTTATCACAACATTTTTTCTTTTGTCAAATCAACTTCAATAATTTATTTAGTTCAGATAACTTGTTATTTTGAGTTTCTGATGATTAAATCAATCTCCTTCATTATATTAACTCACTTTTTCCATTTCAATCAACTTAAATTTTTAAGGCAACCAGGTTACTTAATCTTTTAAGTTGAACCAACAATATTTTTTACAGTGAACATGTTAATGAGTTAATGATGTCTGAAGTTAGGGCTGTGCAAAAAAGTTTTTTCGATTAATCGTTTTTTAGAATGTGGTCGATTCAAAATCAATTCTCAAAGGCCACAAATGTTTTTGTTTTTTGATATTTATTTATCCATCAACCAAAATCCAGTAAACTGTAATATATATATATATATATATATATATATATATATATATATATATATCATGATTTGTAATCAAAACATTTTTTCTTTTGTCAAATCAACTTAATTTATGTGGTTCAGATAACAAAATATTTTGAGTTTCTGATGATTAAATCAATCTCCTTTATTGTATTAACTCAATTTTTCCATTTCAATGAACTTTAAATTTTAAGGCAGCCAGGTTACTTCATTTTTTAAGTTAAACCAACAATATTTTTTACAGTCTATTAGTTTTCATTCAATGTCCATAGGCTTTCAGTGCCTCCATGTTATAGCTAATGCTGTAAAATGTTATGTTTGTTTTATCTTAAACATAAAATAACCTGACCCAGTTTGATCAAGGTATTCCACTGTTCTGACATGTCCAATTTTCAGCATCAATTTTTCATCTTGCATCAAAATCCTGTCTATTCATTGTATGCATTTGAAATATAGAGTTGTGTTCAGTTTTAATGTCCCCAAGTGTAAAGAGTTTAATATACAGGTTTGTGGCTCTAATTACCACTTGGACCACTTGTAAACTAATGTTCACTTTTATTAAATCTATATTCATTGAGTCGAATCGGGAATCGAAATCGAAATTGAATCGAATTGTGAGCTTGCGAATCGAATTGGAACATCTGAATCGATCCCCAGCCCTTGTCTGAAGTAATGGCTGCAGAAAATTCAGCTTTGGCATCACAAGAAGAAATTACTTTTTAAAATGTATTCAAACAGAAAACTTATGTTTAAGAAAACTTTGAACAAATATCAAATTGTAATCATATTTCACAATATTGCAGTTTTTACTGAATCTTAATCAAATCAATGCAGCCTATGAATAAAAGAGACTTCTTTTAAAAAACTAAAAATTCTAAACATTTCAATGCGAGAATAGATGTGATGCTAATGCTGTTCAAGGCCAGTCTTGTCTCGGTCTCAAAAGCCCTGAAAGTCTTGATCTTGTTTTTGTTACCTTGTGAAATAAAAATTAAAATAGGGAAATTAGTTTGGCTGCATTTCTCAGTGCTTTGCGAAAGAGTCTTAAAATCCAACATTAAAAAGAATCGTGATAAGACTGTGGATTGTGATTTTGCTTGAAAAAATTTGTGATTGCCATATCACCCACCCCTAGCTGTAACCCTGATTAATCACCCCATATGCGCTAACCATGACAGAATCATAAAGGTATGTGCAACTCTCAGTGTCTGCCGCGCCAGTAATCTGCAGAGAGGCAAACAATCTGAGAACGAGGTGAATGTTGTCCCAGCGTTCTCTTAATGATGTCAAAAATATTTTGGTGCACATAAAGTGCAGCTATAATATCAAAATATATAGATATGGACAGATAACCGAGGTTTATAGGCTTTACACAACAGGTGGACCAAAGTAGCAACCATACCGCATACATTTCATTAAATGTATACTAATTTTCTGCAAATTCATTTAGAAAACGTTAAAAAAACGAAATGAATATTTATGTATGCATATTATATATGTATGCAATATTTATATATACATATTTTTAAATGGTTTAAGATATAAAATTTTAATGTCATTTTTTAATGTGTCCAGACAGATTTTTTTATCATGTATATTCTCTCTTACAATATATATGATCTTTCCATGAGAATTACTCCATGTGAGCAGAGAACATCTATCTATTTATTGGAATAAAATGGTGTTGATGTGTGACTCAACAGGCAGTAAGTACAGTGTATTGTGCCACAGCCTATTCATGTGTACAGATCGCCTCCATTGAGATTATCTGTGTGCTTACAAGGAGCGCTAAATCTTTATTGATCAGGATCAACTCTTAATTCAACCAAGCTTGCTTAGACAGGATTACATTAAAAGCTGCCTTGAGGGTTGTAAATGTATCCACACTACTGGAATGAGGGAATCAGAAAGGCATAGAAACTCTTTGCTTTTGCTCAAACATGACCACACTGAGATGTTGTATATGAAGCTGCATCAAAGGTAAAATATAATATCATTCTTGCTCTAAAGTAAATATGTTGTAAAACCTGATTGTAACTAAGGGTGAACTATTCCTTTGAGGAACAGTTAACTGGGATTAGTATGTGTGTTTTCATGCATGCATGTGTTTCCTAGGATCAGAATGTCTCCCTCTTCGAAAGCAGAGCACATATGGGCATTTCTTATTGGCATGGCTCCCTTTCCCAGCAGGCTTTACCTGGCATGAGTCCCTGGTCCCACTATCGACATGGGGCCACAATGAATGCACTCGCCTGGCACGCTATCTGTCTCTCGGGACATGACAGACACATTCAAACCAACTAGACTGCATAGGGGAGGACAAACACGCAATGCTTTTATTCTTTGAGGAAAAAGATAAATATATATAAATATAGTGCCTTTCAAAAGAGTTTTAATGTTCTTTAAAAATGCCTCTTATGCTCACCAAGGCATGCATTTATTTGAATATAGTAAAAAAACAGAAATATTATGAAATATTACAATTTTAAAGAACACTTTCGATTTTAATATATTTTAAAATTGAATTTATTCCTGTGATAAATTTTCAGCATCATTACTCCAGTCTTCAGTGTCACATGATGCTAGAGAAATAACTATAATATGCTGATTTGGTGCTCAAGAAACATTTCTTACTATCATCAATGTTGAAAAAATGATGAATTTTTGTTGAACACTTTGATGAATAGAACATCTGAAACATACATTTTTTGTAACATAATAAATGTCTTTATACTGTCACTTTTGATCTGAATAAAAGTATTAATATATTAATACTAAAATATTATATATATATATATATATATATATATATATTATATATTATGTTATATATTATATATATATATATATATATATATATATATATATATATCATTTCATTGGCTATGTTGCAATATACATACAGTATATATCTATTTGTGGAAAGTGTCATTACAGGGAACAGACTGTGACTTTTGTCTTCTTTATGTGAACTTTTTCAGCAGTTTTCAGCAGTTTGCCTTGCAGTTGCTCTGCAAAGCTTGTTTGCATGGTGTAAACCTGTGCTGTACTGACTCTGCCTGTAAGATCTGGAGGCTAAATCTATCATACAGAACAGTTTTGAGGCTGCACTGTCATGAAATTCTTTTTGGACAAAATGAATGCCTTGAGGTTTTGGTGTCAGAGTTTACTTCAGTCAGGTAAAAAAAAAAAAAAAAAAAAAAAAAAAAAAAACACAACTGTCAAATGTTAACACCAAATGTGCATTTCCAGAAATAAGTTTAGGCTTTGGTTCTTGTAAATAAAAAAAACTGCTTTCGATGTGATTTTTTTTTACCATTTTATCGTCTACCAGGTAGACTTGGAAAACAACTAGCATCTTTACAACAAGTCACATGATCTGAGGTATAGTTCATGTCCATGGTTTGGGATGTTTGTATGAAGAATATCAGTACAGAGAGTGTGTTTTATACCATCATACGTTCCGCTCTCCAGCAGCAATCCACTCTCTTCCAGGATGCGAAAATCCCCCACACTGATGAAATTATAGTCCACTCCTGGAACCTCCCCATCTCTGGGCATCCGAGTGGTACCTTCCAGTAAAACAAACACAATTAGTGACAGTAAACTAGTTCTGGTAAGAATATCCTACACCCACAATCCCATTTGCTGCAAACTTTGTGTCTGTCTAAACACAGCCTCAGATTGACCAAAATAAAAATTGGATTCCCTGGTTGGATTTCAGAATTTCCTTTGAGAACAAGTGCACTCCCTTCGGAACTGTAAATAGAACTGATCTCAAGCTCCCATAGATGAGATCTGGATACTGGGAAACTGGCTGGATGGGTTACATGGAAAACTGGTTTAAAAAAGAGGGATTGGCAATTTGTGAGGCTTTAAATGATGAAAAATTACATGCTTTAACATAATTGCTATGAAAATGGTTTGGAAACACACAGAGAGATGTACAGTATTAGCCAAACTGAGTAAAACAAGGACATATTACATCATATCAAAGGAAATCTTGTGTTATTTGGTATGTTATTCGAGCATAGTGTAGTCACAGATTGCTTTATTCACAAGGGAGACGGTGACACAGAGATGGAAAGTGTGCACTGACTATACAATGAGATTCAGTCTCTGAAGCATTTGACACTTTTGAAAATGTGTGTGTCTGCAGTTTAGTAATCTTTATATTTATAGTAATGCTATATTTTCAACCTTCTGTTTCTCAGCCCAGACAATATTTACTCATCCTAATGATGTAGCAAATTTGTATGAATTTCTTTCTTCAGCTGGGCAAAAAAGTAGATATTTTGCAGGATGTTCAAGCCTATAATCATAGGCAGAGGGTGAACTCCATGGTAAGGCCCAGATTGGGAGCACCGGAAGAATTTTCGCTGTCTTTTTTTTTTTTTTTTAATACAGGCCTATATACACACACCAAAAGGATTATTAGGAACAACTGTTCAATTACTCATTAATGCAATTATCTAATCAACCAATCACGTGGCAGTTGCTTCAATGCATTTAGGCGTGTGGTCCTGGTCAAGACAATCTCCTGAACTACAAACTGTTGATGCTAGAGGTGAGAAGAGAATGGGCCGACAGATTCAAGCTGATAGAAGAGCAACTTTGACTGAAATAACCACTCGCTACAACCGAGGTATGCAGCAAAGCATTTGTGAAGCCACAACACGCACAACCTTGAGGCGGATGGGCTACAACAGCAGAAGACCCCACCGGGTACCACTCATCTCCACTATAAATAGGAAAAAGAGGCTACAATTTACAAGAGCTCACCAAAATTGGACAGTTGAAGACTGAAAAAATGTTGCCTGGTCTGATGACTCTCGATTTCTGTTGAGACGTTCAGATGGTAGAGTCAGAATTTGGCGTAAACAGAATGAGAACATGGATCCATCATGCCTTGTTACCACTGTGCAGGCTGGTGGTGGTGGTGTAATGGTGTGGGGGAGGATTTCTTGGCACACTTTAGGCCCCTTAGTGCCAATTGGGCATCGTTTAAATGCCACGGCCTACCTGAGCATTATTTCTGACCATATCCATCCACTTATGGCCACCATGTACCCATCCTCTGATGACTGCTTTCAGCAGGATAATGCACCATGTCACAAAGCCTGAATCATTTCAAATTGGTTTCTTGAACATGACAATGAGTTCACTGTACTAAAATGGCCCCTACAGTCACTAGATCTCAATCCAATAGAGCATCTTTGGGATGTGGTGGAACGGGAGCTTAAACGATTCCAGACGATGAATAAGGGTCTTATCAAGCGAAACGTTCGCTGATTTAAAAAATAACAAAGTTTAAGTTTTATAAGCTCAAATGGTCGCCTTGCTCTGTTCTGTGCTGCGCGTTCGTGACTCTCCTGTTCGAACTCATTCATCAAAATGAACAAATCTTTTTCTGAGTCAATTCGAACCAAATGACTCGAAAAAAGATTTGTTCATTTTGATTCAGTTTTTTTTCAGTGCTTAAACTTAAACATAACACCTCTGATTGGTCATTGCATTCAAGAAATCAACAGATATGTTTGTGATTGGCTATACAGCTCAATGCGCAAACCATGCTGTTAATAGAAACACAGATACGAACTGGACCGTTTGCTAAATATGTTTCATCAAAATGCTATCATTACAGAGAAAACTGATCCTAGACCAGCAGTTATGGGCAGCTTGTCCCTCTAAAAGTAATCAGAAGCAGCAGCAGGCAGTGATTTGAGTGAGAAAATTCCACACTAGTCCCAAGGGGTAAGGCTAAGCCGTGCCCAGGCTTAATATATATACGTAATTACGTATATATACACACACTGTATATGTCTTCATTTGTGTCAACAAACAACAGTAATATATGACACAACATGATGAGAACTTTTATTTTTGGGTGAACTATTTCTCCAATCAACCCTTTTTTTTTACCCCTAAACCAAGATTTAAAAAAAATGTTAATTCTGTGTGTTTAAGCCTGCGTGAGTGTGTTTGCTCAAAAAATATCAAACATAAACAGTACACATTTGGACCTAATTTCAGAGGTGGGTTGTTTAGCAGCAAAATCCTCATAAGAGACATCCGAGGGTGGCATTTCTTGCGAATTTAAGGCCAAAAATAAAAGATGACATTTCTCGGCTCTGTTCGTTTGCGTGCTAGGAAATGCCACCAGGCTCTACTGTCATTTGAAGGACATTCGCATTAGATGCCGCAAAGTGAAATGCCAGAGTCAAGTGTCTGAGGAGACTTGACTCTAACTTGAGAGCAAATAATATTAAAAACGGACTCCTTTACATTTTCTTTGGGGAGAAACTGTGTAAATGTCACAAGAAGAGGGAATCGAAACAGCAGCGCTGCATAGATATGTGAATATCTACTGGTGAGGTTAAAAGGGGTTACCTTGTCCAATGTCCATTACATAATGATAAAGAAGGGAGTAGAGGAGAAGAGATGTTGTTAAATGTGTTCTGTTGCACATTTTTTTTTCACCCTTTCCATTTTCCTTTCCAGTGTGATTTTTTTGTTGTTGTAAAAATCATATGTAAATTGAGTTGATTGTTATGACATTTAATAAACTATACATTTAGAAATGATGCATTAAATTGATCAAACGTCACAGTAAAAGACATTTATAATGCTGCAAAAGATTTCTATTTCAAACAAATGCTGTTCTCATTAACATCATTATTAAGCAACAAAAAAAATTAAATAATTTTTGCATATTTTACAATAATAAATGTTTCTTGAGCAGCAAATCATCAGCCTGAATGTGTTTTGATTTGTGAAGGATCACTTGACACTGAAGACTGGAGCAATGATTCTGAGAATTCAGCTTTGAATCAAAGAAATAAATTACATTATTAAAATAGCAACGGTTTTTTTTTAAAGGTGCCATATGTAATAATTGAGGTAAAAATATCCAAAAAATGAGCTACACGCATCAAAAGAATGAGAAGAAATAAGTGCAATGATGTCATTAAAAAACTGACAAGTTATAGTGCTGCCGAGATATAAACCTAAATTACTAGCCCCGGCCCGGCAGGTGTCGTAATACCAGTTTCGGCCATGGGAGGCGGTATGCGGGCGGGCAACATAACCACCAGCCAAACTGCAATAGACGAGTAACTCGCACGGCTTGTGTGTGTACTTGAACCTGATGTCAGTCGTGTGGAAATACAGCCCACTACTACATTTCAGTTCAGGGAAGAGTTTAAAAAATGATTGGTCGACATTATGCATGAGGAATACATTTTGGTAAGTTGTAGCATAATGTATCTTTCAACAGTGTTCATGTTCTTTTTCCATTAGCTAGTAGAGATGATCGGTTCACGCTAGGGATCTGTGGTGTAACATGTACAAGCGCCAAAACGGTATTTATTGTTTGAATTGCGTGATAAAATTGACAGAATCTGAGAGCTTAACTAACCTGCTTGCTAAGTGTCAAAGTGCACCGTGTGTCTCACGGTGAATTCGTGCTAGCTTGATCAGCATCAGCGAATGCTGTCTGTCAAATTAATTCAAACTAACAATACAAGTGTAATATGAACAAAACGAATAACGTAAACTTAAAATTTTCGTCGAAATGCACCAGCTTGTTTTTGAGACAGGCGTCTATGAGACGGTCTTCATCATTTAGTGTTGAGATGTTGTTCATTGAGTCTCTGATCTCTAAAAACCTCCAAATGCTCCACGTGAAACTGCGGTCTTCCAAACTTTTACTATCGTGTTAAATGATTTGAATAATATGCAGAGAAAGAGAGCAAAACAGCGCTCGCTTGTGTTGTTTGAAGACGTGAGAGTGCGCGTGGCCACGGCACAACTCACTTTGTGGAGGTATACTGCCCCCATCTGTTATGGAATATGGAATATGATTTGATTTTATGTGCCAGAAGGCACCTTTAATCCTAATAATATTTCACAATATTACTGTTATGCTATATTTTTATCACATAAATGCACCTTTGGTGAGAATAAGAGTGTCAGCATACAAAGACTTGCAAAAGTAGTAACATTTATTCAAGGTAAGTATATTGGTTGTCTTTGTAATTTAGGAAGGAGCCCAACTTGTCTAGTTTGAAAAATACAATCTGGTCATTCCTCTTTAGATAGCCATTCTGCAATATTCTCCTGTACTCCAAAGCATTAAATTACTTTTCTCTGTGATAACTCATACCAGCAACTAGTAAGGCTCCCCAACACCATGACACCTCTTCCTCTATGCTTCACTCTGGTAGAGATGCATTTATTAATATATTTCTGAGCAGATTTTCAAAAACAGTGCTCTGGAGCATCACCATTCAACTCATGTTTCATTGACATTCCTCACTCCACACAACTCAGAATCAAACTTTCCATATTCTGCCAAAAACTTCATCCTGTCTTTGATGTTTTTCTGAGACAGCAATGGCGTTTTAAGTAAAGATACTACTAGCGCAGTGAACGGGGCTTGAGAGCGCTTGTGAATGGTGCGAGTGCAGCCTCCGTGTTGCCAAATCCACCTAATGGAAAGGTGCAGTCATCTCCTGGACCTGTTTTTCAGATTTAATTGTGACGCTTTAGGAAGTTATTAAAGTGGAAAGTTGCATGTTAGGGTTAGTGATATATTAATCTTATTTCCAAAACACAAGCTTTGAACTAATTTTGTATTATTATTATTGTTTTATTTTGTTTTGCTTGTTTTACATGGCAATATCTGGCAACATTTTACTGTCGGTGTTAAAAAAAAAGCTTATAGACAAACTGCAATTGCATAAAGCTACCACATTCGATAAAACGCAATGATTATTGTGATTTTCTGTAAGAAATGTAGGCTATAACACAATCAAAAATAATTGCACAGTATGTTACAGAATGCAATTTTCCAAATAACCTTACTGGCCAGCTGGAAGATGGCTCAAGCTGTTTAGTTAACATTTCACAAAGTCATCATAAATACAATAATTAAAGCAGTCTATTCAGCCAGCATATTTGTGTTTGATCTGTGTGAATTACAGAAATATAAGACTTTGCTAGACATATTTTTATTCTATATTTCTTTGCACAAAACTCTCAAGAAAGTGCCATTTAATGGTTTATTTAAAAAAAAAAATCTATATGAAAAAATCTATTAAAAAAAATCTATATATCGAGGGCTTGGAGCCAGAGGGCCGTAAGTGGCATTTTGGGCGAATATGAGTTCTTTATATCAAAATAAAGGTCTCAATGAGCTCTATCCAATGGTGCCAAAATACCCATCTGAGATCAAACTGTATTGAATAAAGCAACAAAAAGGCGTATCTGACGTATTTGACTTTTTGTTTTTTTGAAAATGTTTTAGAACATGTTCATTGTGTTAATATGCCATACATTTTTTACTTAAATAACTCATTTCATGTAAGTATGCCTGTGGTTGCAATGTTAATAATACAGGTGATTGAAGCGTGGTAAAAAATTTGTTTTGTCTCTCCTGTAAAGTTTGTTAAAAGCCACTTACGCCCTTATGGCTCCAAGCCCTCGATATATATTCTTTACACAACACCCCGGACTCATTTTCAGACCCTGGATACAGCCTAGAAGTTTATGCAATTGGCCCCAGGCCAATTTAAAATGATGTGAAAAATCAGAGAATTTGACCCTCTTAAAATTCAACACACCCCTACATCAGAAATTGTTCAACTATTCCAGACTTTTGGTTGCATAATGCAACGCCACTTCCACAAACTAATGTGTATTTCCCTTTACGTCCTTGCGACATACCGTCACAGAATAAATGAATGCATTTGCAGTGCTCTCTGGCGCAGTGGAAACTGTTGTGAGCCCATAGACTTGTAAACAATGACTGTAAGAAGGTTATGTAAGAACAGCCAGTTTCATCTTTGTTGGCCTCTGCAGTCAGTTTAATCACAGGCCGGTTCTGAAAGAGGTCCGCAGATCCCCCGGGCGACCACCTGCCCCAGCACATTCTGGTGGAGGAGGGATATGAGTGGCACCTTAGGCTGCTCTTTATTCCTCTCCATCAGAGGAGCTTTTAAGAACTTTTGTTCATAGCTCCATAAAGCAGCTTTGTGACTGAAAATACCAGAGGCTCTCTCTTCCTCCAACTCCTACTTTTTTTTCTAATTTCTTCCCTTCTTTACTCTTTTCTTTACTTTGCCGTTTCAGGCTCTTCTCGTAATTTACCGATTAAGGTAAAGAGAGAAGAGAAAAAAGGAAGAGAGTAACTAGGACAAGCACAGAGTGACCTAAGGACAAGAGAAGACGATGCTTAAAATGGCAACCAATGGAAGTTTTTTTTTTTTTTTTGTCATTTTATGCTAATTTGGATTTGTCTCCAATTTTCCAAAAACATCAAAGAGTAATTCTTCATTCTAATGGGGAATTATTTATAATTAATTAAACTTCAACGGATTTAGAAATAAAGCAAAATGTGTTAATCAAAAAGTCTGTTAGTAGACAGTTCGACAGCTGGGATATAAAAGCTGATACGGTTATTGCCAGTGATAAAATGCACAACTAAACAGTGTCCGCTGGCTGTATTTCAAGTTGTTAAAATGGGTCACCTTCCCTCAAATTCAATTATAGTATCAATAAAAGTTTCTCTTTTATAAACATTTTCTTCCTTCTCTTTCACCTTTAGCTTGTTTTGTTGTTACTATGCCTTTAAGACGTCTAGACGCCCTCTACACTCTAAAAAATGCTGGGTTGTTTTAACCCAATTTTGGGTCAAATATGGACAAACCCGAAATGTTGGGTTAAAAATGTAATGTAAAAATTTAACCCAACGGCTGGGTTAGTCCATATTTGACCCAAAGTTGGGTTAAAACAACCCAGCATTTTTTAGAGTGTACACATGATGTAACAGCGTTTTGCTGTACTTTTATTCGGGAGCTGTGCATTTGCTGTCAAGTCTAATATGGTTTGCACTGCTTCAGGATGCCTTCAGTAACAGCCTCTTTGCAATAGTCTTCATTAGGTTGTGACAGGTTCACAGAAAAAAAATCTGTGCTGGAATGTGGCGAACCAAACTGGTGATGATCGTGATGATCATGGATTGTTATAAAAATAAACTTTTGCTGCTCATTTCTAACACTAAAATCCTTAAGAGGAACATTTTGTGTGACAGGAGCTATAAAAAGCAACAACAAAAAAAAAAACACAAAAAAAACAGCAAGAGGTATGGAAAAAATGATCATGCACTCCAAAGCATAATCTGGATCTTATGTTATAGATCTGCTAATATTATACACAACATACACTACTGTTCAAAAGTCAGAAAGAGTTTGCTTTAATAAATTAATAAGTATTTCATTCAGCAAAGATGCATTAAATTGATCAAAAGTAACAGTAAAGACATTTATAATGTAACAAATGATTTCTATTTTTTTTTTTAAATGCTGCATCCGAAGAAAAAAAATTGTTTCCACATAAAATATTAAGCAACATTGATAATAATAAGCATTTTATAATGATTTCAAAGATCATGTGACACTGCAGACTGGAGTAATGCTAAAAAATATCTGCCATTACAAATATATGTATATTTATATGTATTAAAATATAACTGATTTTTTACTCACGGACCTGGCGCATTTTATTACAAGTTACAATTGCAAAGAAAGGTATGTTTTCCCCAAAAAAAACACTGGAATTATTTTATAAAACAAAACCTAATTCGAATGGCACTATCCAGGGGTGCGTTTCCCAAAAGCATCGTTAGCCAACTATGGTCACAAGTTCCGTCGTTACCAGCATAGTTCAACGAGTCGGTGTTTCCCCAACGAACATTCGCAAACAGCGTCGCAAAGTCGTGTGGTTAGAAGCATAGTTTCTATATTTAATCACATTTGGACGTAATAAATCGTTATCTTGAGCAAAATAAGCAAGCTGACATTCAGTACAACCGGTGCCTTTTATTTAGAATACATACAAATGGAATTTTTTAGTTTGTCAAAAGAGTTAAAGTACCGATTTTGAAGAGTGCGCATGTGCGAACGTGCTCTACTCTGTTAATAAAGCAAAATAACTGAGAACAATTAGAAATAGTCCTCAGATGACATGTAATTTATATATTAAAACATCTAGCATTATTGGTCTCATTAAAAGTAGTTATAATTCCACCTCGTGCAAAACCAAAGTGGTTGAACAATAATTTGCGACAATGGGTTTCGGGAGACAGTCATGACTAGCTAGTTGATTTCTCCAACAATGCATCGTATTATGGAAGTGAAGCAGCAAACTACATTTGTACGGGAAACACAGCCCTGACCATACAGCAGGTACTATATGAATAAGATGCAGAATTTCTGTGCTGAAATACCACTTGCTAAGTGTAGTTGTGAATTCGCCCCCTCAGTGTGTTTTATGACACATTTGTCACTGTCACTTATCAAATTAGACTAAATAGGGAATAACAAACTAGCTGAATGAGAAACTAATGAGCAGTGGAGAAGCTGATTGGAGAAGAAACATGCTCTCAGAAACCCACTCCACAACTCTCCAGAGAAACAGCAAACATCTCACAGGGAAAGCTGCTGGTGTTCTGCAGAGGGCCAGAGAGCCTAATACACGAATAATACACACCAGTGTGAGAAACGGCCAAATGAGAAAACACTGAGAGGTAAGATGAGATAACCAGACTGCCAGAGAAAGATGGACAGAACATATGCTCTTCTTAAATTTAATGATACGCTTCAATGATCCAAAAATTAGAATTCTGTCCAAGCAGAATTTGCATTTTTGGGTGAAGCATCCCTCTATTCTATTCTATTCTATTCTCAAACCAAAATTGACACCTTCAATTTTTCTCACATTATCACAGTTTATTCTCTATAGTTTAGAAAATAGTAATAAAATATGAACTCAGAGTTATCAAATCAATTGATATTTCACTGGTTTTGTCCATTCTTCTGTTAGACTGTCTCACAAATGAATTAAGTTGAATAGTTGATAACTGTAAAATTTAACTACACAATTAGATAATATCAATTTAGGTCAACCAATTACCAGGTCAGGTCAAAGGGTTTGAATAATTTTTGGTCACAATTTCTTAAAAATTTTACTGGTAGTCCACTAGATGAAGAAGTTTTTGGGCATAATATGTCACAGTTTACTTTATTTTGCTATCCTCACTTACATATATTAACTATAGTGCCCTGCACCTACTAGTAAAAAAAACCCCATCAAAATCAAAAATTATATCTGGTGTGTGAATAATTTTTGGTTTGACTGTATAAAACAATGTTGCAAATAAGTGCATAGTAAATAAATGTATAAAAATGAATAGATTGGGTGTGTATGTGTATGTCTTACATGGAATGGTGCGCAGGTACAGGTTGTCTCGGATCACTTGCTGCAGCTTGTGGTCGATTGATCCTTTTTGGAACTGCAGGCTAAGATAATGCCTTAAATCAGCGTTCAGCACTTTACCTGCGGAGAGAGAGAGAGGCAAAGGGAAATTTATAAATCCTTTCAAAGGTTATGGAAACAGAAGTAGGTAAGCTTGGCATTATAATGTAGACTAACTCCCGAAAGAGATACATTATTGCTCTGATGATGCTCTTTCAAAGGATAAGGACACTCAATGGGGTTCTCATCTCACTTGTGTTTCTTTAAGCATAAAACTTAGAGAGAAAAAAATCAGACGATTGTCTCTAAAAATTAGACGAATGTTGACACAGTAAGAGCACTGATCATTTGATCTTAGATCAAAATATTCTTAGTGACACCATGAGCAGTATCATACATTGTTTAGATCAAACCTTAAAAGATCAACAAAAACTTTAGGAGAAAAAATATAAAAATAAAGCATTTACTCTCATTGCTGAAGAAGAAAACAAGTTAAATATGTCATACGTGATTTTGCTTTCCTACAAGTACTTGAAAAGTACTTTATATAAGTGTCCAATTGTTTTTTGTTTTCTAGGAGTAGTCACATCTTACTCTGCGCATAAACACACACACACACACTCAATGTGAGAGCCAGCTGCACAAAAACACAGGGCGTAAGTCTCATAAGCTTTGCTAACTCAGAAAAGACTTCAAGAACAAGCTGACACAGAGTCGAAAGCAGCAACTGTGAAAAGTGAAACCTAATGAAAACACACACGGAACTTTTAAAAGCCTCGCTTTCCCTCTTTCTGCCAAACTCCAAAGTCACAACTCTGGAAGAGTTCACAGAGAGTTGGGGAAAGTTGCTCAGCAGAGGAAGAAGGAGGTTGTTTGCTGATAAAAGACTGAGGGTGGAAAACAGAGAGAGAGAGAGAGACAGACAGAGGACGAGAGAGAGAGTAGAACAGCACAACTTCAGTAAAGAGGTCATATCAGACATCACATTTTCTTTCATCTTTTGTAAAAAATACATTTAAAAAAGTCAGATTAGTGAACATTCTTTTGAGTCGGATCTTTTTAAGTGAACAGATTGAACCGGTCTGAATAATATTATTTGTAACAAGAAACAAAGAAGTTGGGTGAGATGTAGAGATGCACTGATACTACATTTCCCAGCTGATACGTTATAGCCGATGATTCAGAATAACATCTGCTGATAATATCGATAGTTTGATTTTCTTAAGGGAAATAAAATCTCTCCCAAATAATGCTGCAAACTATACAGGGAACTCTTATTTGGTCAACACAGTCTCATGAAAGTGCATATCTATACCACGAATGTCATTTCTCGTGCCATTTATACGCCAAAAATTGCTACGCACTGAAAACCCCTTGGGTAAGTTTATGGGGGAGGGTGGTGGGGAGTTTGTGCATATTACACGGCATAAAGTGCATATCATATGTACGTGAATATATATATATATATATATATGCAAAAACAATTTTTGGCATATAAATTGCATGAGAAATAACATTCGTTCTGTAGATACAAACTTTCATGAGATCGGTCTCCATTTGGTACATTACTATAAAATCAGAGGTTAATTTTAGGGCTGTCAGTTAAACGCGTTATTAACGGCGTTAACGCAAACCCATTTTAACAGCGTCTACTTTATCGCGCGATTAACGGTCTTTTTGTCCTAGCAAACTTTGTAGTTTTTTTTCACATGCTTTTGTAACAGGACATGCCATGCATGGCGCTGCGCTATGAAACCTATTCATTTCAATGGCTTGCGCCGCGTGAGGACGTTTTGTTGCTTCGTCGACCAAAGCGCAAGCAGATCTAGCTAGACCGGAAACAAAACAACAGGCACACTTGTTTAGGCTTGCAAGCCGGCCAAATAGTAGGTTAACGGTATGTTTTGAGTGTATGACGAGCGCGAGACGCCGAAATGGATGCCAATAAGATTCTGAATGGAAAGTTTACTTAAAAGTTGCCAAATTCCATTGACAAGACCAAAGTGATCTGTGTGTTTTGTCGTTGTGAACTGAGCTATTGTCATCGCATCACGTCCAGTCTGAAATACCACTTGATGATGGCCAAGCACACACACACATACACACAGTTGATGCAACTTCTCCGCCCCCTCGTCAATATCAGGACCTCGTCGGTACTTCTTTCACCATTTTATTGATGGTGCGTTACAGTGTTACATTGTGTGAGAGATTATTTGCTCCAAGTGAGAATGTTAGTGTGAAATTGAACAGTATGCTGATGTTGTTTTCAATAAAAAACATTTGCACAAAACAAGCCAATCCATTTTCCATATTGATAAGAGCATTAAAATACAAAAAGAAATCAAGTGACATTTAAAGTGACAGATTAAAATGTGTGATTAATCACGAGTTAACTATGACAATAATGCGATTGATCGCGATTAAATATTTGAAGCACTAGTTAAAATTAATATTCTATTCAATGTCTGTTTATTTTCAGATGTGATAATTACACTAAAAAAACCCCGGAAATGTTCGCATGCAGGTTGTTTTTTGTGACGTCTTTCTGCGGTTGAAACACTGATTGAGCGATTACATGAGACATGATTCATTTCGTTAAGTTTTACAGTATCCTTCAACATACCTTTTTATGTTCATGCTTTTTTATTGGCTGTTTTTAAACAACTGGCTCATGGACAATAGTGAAAATAATTGCTTATTTTCAATAATTGCTTAAAAATACATTGGTGCATCTAGTGAGAAGTAAGTTTTTTTGCAGATATTAGTCTTTTCATCACTCACAGAAGATGTACAAACAATTGAACCTGACAGCAAATGGATAGCTGAGCGGTGTTGCTGATTTCATATTTTCACAGTCAAATTTTAGATTTATCTGTATTTTACATCTCTCTGAACAAAATGATTTTCCACTGTGGCTTTTAAGAAACCCCTGCTTTGCATAGGAAATTATAAACAGCGCATTTTACGTGCTCACACACTAGCTTGCAGCTTTTCTGTGTGAAATAGTTTTTAATTGAATAGACAACAGCTTGCATTACATTGCAACAAGATCACAATACAATCCACCCTGAAATGTTCTACACAAACTGTTAAGATCAGACTCTTTGGACTGGGGAAAAGTTTTGAAAGCTACAATATGTTTTCATAGTTCATCAGGCTCTTTCATTTTAAAAGATCAAGGGGAAATTTGATTCCTTGTAATATGAATCCATTAAAGGAACAACCCAAAAAAAAAAAAAAAAAAAACAGGGACCACGAGCAAAAAACTATAATGATAAAAAATGTATGACATGACTCCTTTAAGAAGGAAAGTGTGAACGTGTGCAGACAGATGCCATAAACCACTAAACCCCTCACTCATAATCTCTCGTCTTCACCCCTGTGCGATGCTGCCAGGTGCCATAAAGCACCATAATCTCCTCATAAACACAGCATGACCCGTTATGTGTCATAACCTTTGGGTGGAAAGGCAGGTGTCCCCGTTAGAAGCCAAGAGTTAAGCAGGATTTTCCAACCACGAAAAGCTGAAATAGCACATCATTCTAATTTATTTTGACAGGGATAAAACAGGAATTATTATAGTGTTGACATGAGGAGCAGATATCAGCAGCATTTTAACGGCTTGATGACTTAATGTGACTTGGAAATGAATGCTGTTTTTAAGCATAGCCATTGTAATTCTTCACCAGCACATATATATATACTGTATATATATATATATATAGAGAGAGAGAGAGAGAGAGAGAGAGAGAGAGAGAGAGAGAGAGAGAGAGAGAGAGAGAGAGAGAGAGAGAGATGGAGGAGAACACTACACTCTAAAAAATGCTGGGTTGTTTTAACCCAACTTTGGGTCAAATATGGACTAACCCAGCCGTTGGGTTAAATTTTTACATTACATTTTTAACCCAACATTTCGGGTTTGTCCATATTTGACCCAAAATTGGGTTAAAACAACCCAGCATTTTTTAGAGTGTATATTCTTCTTGAGTATTTTTCTGAAAATTGATGTATTTTACGCAGCCTGGATGGGACTGATTCAACATTGCATCAAATAAAATAAAATAAAATAAAATATTTAATCAAAATAAAATTAATTAAAATAAAATATTTAATTAAAATAAAATAATAAAAACCTGACAAAAATGAAATAAGTATATAAAATAAGAATGCCTGCCTATATTGATTCCGGATTACAAAGTAAGGTATTGTAAGAAAGCATCGAGACCGCTCCAGAGTACTCTCAGCACACTATATTTATATAAGAATCCAAAATCGCTCATTCATTTGCATTCATTGCTTCCCAATATGGTGCACCATGTGGCACTGACTATACAGGGAATAGTAAATGAGTGAACGGGTGAGTGACTTTGACACAGCACATGTGGTCAAGGAGAGTGACATGGACAAAAAAACGCTACTAAAGGGTCACACCAAGTAAATATGACCCATCACTGACGCCACTAAAGGTCCACCATCACCACTTTGTGACCTTTATCTCACTTCCCAAATGATGATAGTACAACTTTGTTTACTTTTAATTGTATGTTGATTTGATAAAAGCCCATCTGAGCCACATCATCTCTATTGCCGAGTCAGAGAAGACAGCATATTTAATTTGACCTGAATGAAAAAGGTTTTCATTTGCATTGAGTAAAATGTGTCTATGCAATGTTAAGAGGGCTCCATTTAAACTATAAGATCCAATGCACAAATCTCATATTACTTCCCCAAATTGTGTCGTGCCTGTTTACATTCACTTGAAAATAATTATAAAAGCATTATAAAATTACAAACTATTAAAAAAATGGCTTAAAAAAAAAGTTAGTTACACATGCAAATTCACAGTGAAATCTGTATTAAATCTGTTTTAAACATCTAATATGTTCTAATTGTCTCTAACATGTGGCACTCAGCTAACATCCTGGGGTCAAAAAGGACCTTCAGAGGAGGACTTTTACTGTCTCTTTAGTACTCTATCTCTTCCTGGCCTCAACAGAACAAAGGTCTGGACTCTCTTCATCATATTCAGCTTAAATTCTCGGATTTTGAGTTCTGAGGCAGAGCCGTCTGAGGCTATAAAA